AAAAGCAGAAACTTTTTAAATACCTGGATAAAGTCTTTAAAACTTGTTTCCAATCTGCGAAAATTTTATGAAACTTTGCAGGTCTGCAGGAATTTTTTTTTGGAAATTTGCTGGTCTGAAAAAATTGTTTATGGATACTTGCTGGCCCACGGGCCCAATTTCATTCTGGTTGGGGAACACTGTACAGTACTGTAGTAACACACTTGTATATGAACACAGCGCGTATAACTGTCTCAAACTGCTGGATGAATGAGTTGACAGGATGCTGAACTTTAAAGCAAGCATACTTTCCCACAATCAGTACCTCACTTCACCTTGGAAATCATCAAGTTAAATGTTTGTTGCTCTTCTCTTTCCCGGGCCCTCAGAATAAAATGTAGCCCATAAAGCCTCTAGAAATTTGAGCTATTGCTGGTTTGAGGGGAAAATTCTTTGAGTTAGAAAGATTTACAGTATATCACTTTTTTCTTTGGGGAATACAGACAGTGGCTTGAGAAAAAAGTCAACACAAAGGGGATTTTAACATTCAGAGGTTAAAGTATTAGTTAGGTTCAACTGTGCTGTTTCATCAGTATTCCCCAACCCATGGTCTGCAAACCACCCAAATTTGTTGCAAGTCCACAGGACATTTTCTTCAGCATAATAAATTCATCAAAAGTAACAGTGAAGTCTGTTGTTTTTTTCTACAATTTTGGAAAGACAATGGCAGTTGAAATTATCTGATGAAAAATAAAAGGTGGCTTTTTTCCTAATACAGTACAGCTAATGCTTCAGACAAATTTAACCGGCTGAAATAAATTATTTTAAATTTTCATTCTGAGAAACCTTTTTTCAAGCCCATCTACCTAATATTTTGAAGGCATTCCACCATGCTGCTTCATTGAAAGCTCTTAACCTAATTTTGTAAAAAAGCAGAAACTTTTTAAATACCTGGATAAAGTCTTTAAAACTTGTTTTCAATCTGCGAAAATTTTATGAAACTTTGCAGGTCTGCAGAAATTTTTTTTTTCTTTAAACGACCAGACTTTTTTAACAAATACCTATGAACGACCGGGTGCCCGGGTTAAAGTAAGACCAACCCCTTGTGACATGTCATGACATCATTGTGTGAACATATACTTGTGTCGCGCATATTGTTGAGATTCTCACCGATAAAGACACAGACACCGGATATGAAAGATAGTCCTGCACAGCTGCCATGGATTCAACGATCATCCGGTACAAGAAAAAAAGATTGAAAAAAAGCCAAATGAGCCTCCTAAGCAACGCTGTGTCAAAGAAAACGTGCGGCACTCCAGTTGCTGAATACTGCTCAGTCATGTACTGCTTCGTAACCCCATACACGGTTTCTTCCTCATCATCCTCACTTTCTTTCGTTTCATCTTTCCTTCTTTCCTCCCTGAAGCATTCATTCAGACATTCGTCTTCGTTTCCGTAAGATTTCCGGTCAAACACCTCCGGACTTACTTGAGTTCCATGGGTGTTATTGGAGAGCTGCCCAGCACGGCTCTGGGGAAGCCGCTAGGTTCTAGAAAGAAGTACGATAGCCGCATGTAGAAACGTGTGTTTGAACCATCGTTGCCAACTTATGATTAAAGTCGGAAGAGGTCCGTAGTGAAGGTTTTTGTATTATAACTCTAAAGTTAGTTATTCTATTATCGACGAATTCGCGAACAAATCAAGAGATAAAGGTTTCAGTCACCCCAAGATTTAAAATCTGGAGGTGATAACCATTATGGAGACATTACTCGATTCGTCGGCTCAGTTTTCCTAAGATTTTATTGAAACGTCAAATTTTAGAATTAACGATGAATATGGGGACCCGTGAATCATCGTGAATACAAATTCAACAACCTCACTTGAAAATATTTTAAAAATTAGCTTTCGAGATTATTAAAAAAAACTCCATCTTGCCACTCGAAGGATCATCAACTCGATCCAGCTTGTTTTTATGAATGTGAATGGAAAGACGTATAGCACTTCAAAATGGATGTGTTGCGGCAAAATTATGCCGAACTGAGCTAATTTTGCAGTACAGAAACGTAATAAAATATGGTTACCTCCTCATCGACATCGAAATTTTTACATTAAATGAGATTTCATAATCTTTGTTTATAGATTTGTCATCAGCTTTCAGTACCACAAATATTGCCACGGATAAAAAAAAATGGGACTGCTTCTTTATTATACGCATTATTCATCTCATAAATCATGGATGCTATAAACCAGAATGGAACAGAAACAAAAAGTATTTAATTTGTTTAGCATAAATATTTTGGAATCAATATAAGAGTCAGATACGAGATTCAACTTTAAAAAAGCCCTCATCGATCGAATCGACGCCTGAAATTCACTCATTAAAATATCACATTCCTCGGTCAAGTAACATGAAAAAGCACTCAAAATGGATTTCACTATTGGCTCACTCAGGAATTAACATATTAGGTCGATTGTAAGTTTTCGTACAGTGCATCAAAATGTTTCAGAAGTCGGTCTACGTGGACAATTAGAAAAGGGTCACTTCACAAAATCATTTTCCGAAAAAAAGAGGAGAACTTTTGTTCTTATACTACATAACGCCTTTTAATCTAGCCTCAAGCCATCTTATAAGTGGTTCAAAATTCAAGAACTGGTGGATGTCTTCAATTTCTCATGTAACTGCCGTCGACTTTTGAACGGTGAAATTGTGATTTTTCTGTAAAATGTGCCCAAAACAGGAAAACACTTTGAAAATGGTCATCAGCATGCGCGAAATTGAATGGAAAATATTTAAAAATCATCCTGGAAACTTTTAAGAAAAGCTTAGAGAAGAATTTTATTTGATGAGCATGACAAATTTTGATCATCGAACTGAGCAGCACTCAGAAGAAATCATCAAGCTGGTCTCGCATCACCATCAGCTTTTTCGTTTCGTAATTCCGCATTTCTCTCGCAGCAACCCAAAGAGACCAGAAATTTAGCGACGCACAAAATGATCAGGAAAAATGAATAAGTTGCATTCACATTCTTCGGTCTGCATATTTACAGAAAGACTGCATGCCATTTTAAATTGAAATGAAATTACAGTACTTTAATTACACGTGACAAAACCAGGGATTCAAACAATGGGTGCGGAAAATTTTTTCCATTTTAAAAATTGCAAGTTAAAATTGAGCGACTGTCCTGCACGCATGGAAATACAGCACGACTGCATGAGTACTTTAAAAAATTTAATTGCTTTTTTTGGCCTTTTTGCTACAGAAAAATCCTTAAAGCGTTTTCACTGTTCCGCGAGTAAATGTGGCTAATGAGCAAGATTTCCCCAAAAGTTCATTATGACGTTTACCCATATTTTCGATTCCAAAATCATTATTCCGTTGCTTCGTTTTAAAATTAAAACAAATCTTTAAAAACCAAATAATAACTGGCGCAATTATCGAAACAGAAAACTGGTACGTGCATTACACGAACAAGCCCTGTCGAGTTTCCAACAGCGATTGGAGATCGACCTCGTTTCCTCAGCTTTTATATCACAATTGGCATTGGCATTGCGTGATGAAAATGTTTCTGCATTTAACATATGAGTTGAATTATAATTTGTGTAGCAGTTAACCGCTTGACGTCGCGTCAAGAAACCGGAAAACCACAAATGAATGAGGTTCTTTGCCACCCTGAGTGCGTAATAAAAAAAATATATACTGCACAGCGAACACCTGAAAAGAATAATATAAACGGGTACGACACGAACATGGGTAATAAGAAAGCACTTGCCCGGAAACCCCGACCCATTTGTTTGTACAAGACGCGAGTGAACACAAGTCGGTGACATGCGAGGAAATTCCGCGATTCGTGTTGGATACAATCCGAAACGCAATTCCCAAGTCTCTTGGGATCAGACCGGGTCCGCGAAACGATTGCGACGATAAACGCAAACTTGAGCGATGCTTAAACGAATAGGTACCGAAACAGCCAATCTACCTGAATTCCTGGATTTATTAATGGGAAAATCTATCGCATCGGAAGTTTGAGTAAAAATAAAATTTTCTTCGGAGGCCTCAAAGAATTTAATGGAGGAATCTCACATTTTTTTCATCGTGCGTGATAAATTGGAACGGAGAATTTGACACAAGTTGGGCCACTAAAACTTCAGATACAATGAATGTCAGGAAAATAAATAAAAAATTAATAATGGAGCAATAAAAAGTGATAATCGCGCATTACCATCCTGAAGAGGGAAGTAAAAAAAAAATCATAATGACCATATTGAACCTGCACCTGAACGTTCGCGAATCAGTTCAAAACATGCTGATCATCAAATTCTTTTGAATTATCACACCAACACTTTTAACTTGTTCGAAATCACATCAGAAGTTCCTCTTTAGCATAGTAATTGTTTTGTTTCTTTCATCTGCGAGAATAAGCCTTAAAACGACTAGAATCATAAAAGATTGTATTTTCAAAGAGAATTGCAACAACTTTTTATCCAACTTTATTTTAGCTTTACTGTATAGAACAGTATTTATGAAATATTATTCCTTGAAAATGGGTCTACCAACTTATGATCATATCACTGTATGGGTATGATTTTATCGACATGCTGTTAGAAATGAAACGATTACTCACCGAAGTTCCGCAAACCAGTTACTGTGGCGTATTCCCATCTGTCATGTCTTCCGGTCAGGTCGATGCGATCAAAAACTCAGCAAATCTTGTATCTTCCACTTGAAAGCCGATTACCACAAGTTTCATGGGTAAATAAGAACTTCCGGTTATGACTGGATTTTTCGAAGGAATCATCCGTGAAGCCTCTGCAAAATGTATGCGGGGAAAAAACCCTTGCAAACGTTGCCAGTGATGACGAATATAGTAAAAATGAACTTTAAAATAAATTTCATGATATCAGAAAAAATCGTTGTAGAGAGAGTCTTCCTGAACACCTTTGATGGTTACCCTAAAAATTCGTGAACTGGACAGGAAAATTAAAAAATTATTCGAAAAAGATTCACTTAATCAAACAGCAGTTCGTCGTCATGGATTTCATTTCATTCCCCCAAAATCCGAGCACCTTACAGACATCGCGTTCATGCCAGCAGATCAACACGAGCATTCAATATTCCTATCACAGGAACAATACGACAAAAAATCTCACGCGTCGATCACAACGAGTTTTTGTCAATACAGTATCAACAAGGTCTCGTAGTCTGGTTCCGAAATTGCTTCACACAATCCGGCGAGCAAAATTGCAAGTCGAACGCGACGAACGGCACTTTGCCCGAGATGTCCAAACCACAAAGATGGCATCTGACCAAAACAGGCGTCTTGTTAGCAGATTGTTGCCCAGCCAGTATGCGCCTTTCCGCCGCCAAAGCCCTCTGTTCAAATCGAATAGAATCCCACAAAAGTAAGTTACCGACCCCGTATACAAGCTTGATACAGACAACACGACCATTCACATATAAATACTGTACAGATATTACTACTGTACTGTGTTGCAAACAGGCAGAATGTACGAAGGGCATGGTTGCCCGGTTTCCGCGGGATGTCAGAGAAAAATATGCGAGCCCAGTTTGTTCATTTTTTTCCAATGCCTTTAAATATTTTCGAAACTTCTTCTATACGCTGCGGTATTTAAGCTAAAGATTCTTGTCAATTTTAAGGATAATCAGCCAAGAAATCGTTTTTAAAAAAGTCACTCTCCACAGATGCATGGCTGGAACTGAAACAAGTGCACACACGTGACCCGACTTCTTCCTCTCAAATTCAAAATGGAAGAAAATTATGGATAATCGAACAGGAGAACGAAAGCACAATTTTTTTTCTTTTGATTTTATCATTCTAAAATGTTGAACAGACTCACTTTTCCCCTTGAATACAATACAGTACTTTTTTGAGCGGAAATCAGACAACCCTCGCGTAAACCACAAGCCAGGATTAATTTTAAAAAATTGCCCCTTTCCAAGCCAGCAGTTACTGTATAAACAATTTTCACATTCGGACACTTGATTATCGGCAGACGGATAGAAAAGATTTGCTATTTCTACATGAACTTTGTCACTCATGATTTGAGCAGCTTCTGCCGTCCCTTGATGAACAGAAATCGAAAAAACTAGTTTAGCTGCAAGAAATTCTAGATCTCGAAATGCCTAACCTTAACCTGTACTTTACTTCAATTTCAATCTACTGTACAAATATTGAGCATATTTTGAGGGTCGAACCAACATATGCGCATACCGATGAATTATTCAGGATCAACCCCAGAATCGAGAAAGGACGGAGAGAAACAGCGGAAAATTCCAACCGACGTATAACACGCAAACTTTATGCACGAAACGGCTCGCTCGTTTACCCGCACTTTCACTACGCTTTTGACACATTACTTCGGAACAGCAAGCAATCGTTGCATAAGTTGGCAACATTTTCCACCAATTTAATAGATCGAAATTACCGAGAATTTTAGCATGCAGAATATTTCAGCCGTCAGCTTAATTTATCGTAGCGCGTAGAAACGCGCTCAGCTGCCCCATGGGGCCAACCGAATTTTTATAGCCTTTCCTTGACCATAACTTTTTTCTGCAATGCGCTTAACATAAACATTCTCGCATACAAAAAAGGCTTGCACTGGAATACGATACACCACACTCCTAAAAACCGCCGACTAATGCAAGTAAGTTACTGTACAAGGACAAATTTTCGTTGCAATGCGAAAGACTGAGGGACTAGGCTCATTTACCCTTTGAGCTATGCTCACCCGCAGCGGAGGTAACCTTTTACAAAATCCCCATACAGTATTTTCCAACAAACCCAAGGGTTATAATTACAAGAGATTTGCCCCAAGCATCACGTTGCTATGACATCACCAAATTTCACCGGTAAAAAAATCCATGAAGATTGTGCGAATCAAACAGCACGGAATACACCTTCCATAAAAATGCTAGCCTCAAGCGTGTTTCGTTTTGAAAATATGCCGTACATCCTAAAAAATAAAAAAATCGATTTTCCAAGAACTAAGAAAAGCCAAAACGAACTTCACGAAAAATAGTACACCTCACATACATTTTAAACCCCGACTAAGCCACGAAAATTGCGACTTTTCCACTTCCCAATAACTATTTTGGACAACCAATACTCGTAGGATTGATGATCCCGAAGGCAGAATTTCATCGAAATTAGAGTATATTAAAGGAATTTTTTAATCGCTTGACTAAAAAATTAATAAAATGAGCGAAAAAAACTTTTTTTCACTTCAAGGCATGAAGCGATCAACGCTATCGATTATAGTACATTACTGTGCTACACTAGCAATGATCACGCGCAGACGCGAGTTACTCTTGAGCAGATGAAGCTTGGAAGTATTTGATGAAAAATTAAAAATCTCTCGTGACTGCCAGAGATAATAACCCACGATGTACATAAAAATTCACTACCATCACCGAAGAAGTAGGAAAATGCAGTACAAGAAAAAAAATGTCTGATTAAATATCGACTCTGGAAATTCAACACACGGAAAGCAAAAGCATTGTTTGGAAGCGAAGAAAAAAGTTGTCGATGTCTCAAATCTCCAAACGGAGAGATGAAGATTATCACACAAACCACAGTTTTTCTGCCGGTATGAAGTCGCCGGGAAGAAAGCATAGTAGTAAAATGCAGGTTAGAAGAAACGACACGGCCACGACCATCATGCTCAAGTCGTCGCCGGCGTCACATGCGTTGATGGAAGAAAGAAATATTTTTCGCACGCGACTCACACCGAGTCTAGTCACTACGCCGGGATTCGCAAGTGAGTAGCATACCTTTTCCCGTTCACTGAGCGCCAAAAACCTCAGACGCTCTGCTTCTTCCTCTCGTCGAGCCTCAGCTTCAGCCTTCAACACTCGGTCTTTTTCCTTCTTGATCTCCTTTTGCGCTTTGCGTCTCTCCGCTTTCTTCGCAGCTTGTTGCTTTTCAAGGTCATCCGTCAACGCAGACGGGACACGAGCATTGGACCAATCAAATCTGGATATTAAACCACTAGTTAATATAAAAATCATCACGGAAATGCTTCGCGGTTTTAGCACAAAGAATCATTCGGGTGCACACAAAAAATTATTTTCTTGCAGTTTTCTCCTTGTACTGAAATATTACAAACCGAAATGGTTGGGCGTAACGAAGGTGGTACAAAGGCACCTGACTCGCGTTATGCACGACCTTTTTTAGCATAAATGTAAGGGAATTATTTCCTATAATTTTCTTTATACTGTATTAAGGAGAAGATTTTTCGCATATACAGTATGTTATGGAGACAAAGAGAGAAACGCAACCAGACATTTAAAACTTTGGTGCACAAGTAAAGCATCGTAGTGGTTGGTATTCAAAAGGTGGTACACATACACTGCCATTCTTTTGGAATTTTTAAAATCCACACAACAGAAAACCTCCGGTGCATACGATGCCATGATGAATCCGTTTCCAACAGAAGATGGCAATGAATATTACAGATGGGTGGGCTACTAATTTTTTTTTTATCTCATGCAGCATCCCGATTCAAGCCAAAATTACGTTCAAGTTAGGGCAAATGCTGATTTAGGAAAATAGGTCACAAGTATTTGTATGCAGCTTCAGCATTTATTTTATGCAGTCGAATGATAATGGCTAGTACCAAGAGATGATAATAAACGCACACTTCAACACTTGGATTTTCGTTAAGTTTTGTGGTACATCTTACGCCATAAATTATTCAAAAATCAACTTGATCAATTTATAAAGTCGCCAAGCGGAAATCTAACCTCTCAGGGTGAGTTCCCATAAATCTTCGGAATGCATTCCGACTTTCTTTATCGACGGCAACTTGATACGGAACTCGATCCCGATTATCCTTCATGCAAGGATCGGCGCCGATTTCTAGCAACATTTCAACGCACGGACCGTTTTCACGTGCAGCAGCAGTATGCAACAAATAAGTTGAACCGTCTTCAACGGGAAGATTCACAACCATTTGCCACGCTGACGGATTTCCTACGTCGAGTTCCAGGTAATTCAGAAGCTCCTTTGGTATTTCTCCACAATCTTTAAAAGCAGCTTCGTCGTCAGCTTTCACTGCTCTGCACAAGCTTTTCATGAAATCACGAGCCACACCTGTGAACGCAAATGATTGGTTTCCTTTAGAGAGAGAAAACCAATGTCGATTTTAAAGAAAATCACCTTTCGGAACAGGATTGAGATCAACAGGAACGCTTTCCACGCTTTCAACTTGACACGGCTTCTTCTTCTTCTGCTTCTTTACGGGCAATGGCTCTTCTTTTGATGGAGCGAAAAATTCACCGTCCAACTTCTCAATCAACTGAGTCACTTCAGAATCTGCTTGTTCTTCAGCAGGCAAACTCGCCTGGACTTCTTTTTTCTCTTTTGCCGAGGATGCGCCGGCTTTGATTTTCTTTTCCGGCGGCTTCGAAAGCTTCTCAATAAAGGATGGAGGCGAATCTGAATAAAATTACCAAGAAGTCCAAGTTTTCATCAATTTCAAAGACTGCTGTTCAAGCTTACCATAGAACCTCAAGGTGGTGATCGCATCATGAACGCGCTTTACTTCACTCAAAGTCGGACGACTGACGGAAATCGGTACGATTCGCATGCGTGGATCATCACGACGTAAGGGATAGCCAACAGTGCTCGAAAACATGACTCCTTGGTTTCGGGCAGGTACGCGGTAAAAAATTTTGTCACACTTGTCCAACTGCTCAGCCCAGGCAATGACAAACTTTTCTATGTGCTGTCGAAGTAAGTGAATATATAATTTTTAGAATTTAATAGATCCGAGATATTAATTGCGTATTGAAGCTGCCCTCGTTTTCTTTCTTTTAATCGTTTGCCATGCGCAAACGCTGTAACGATGGAAAATTACCACACTTGACTAACACCAAATTGTATATTTAATTTTTTTAAACTTCGTCTAATTTAAGAAATTCGTTACATTCATCTTGTATTGAAGCTGCATTCGTTGTTTTACTCATTTGCCATACGCAAACGTTGTAACGATGTCAAATTAGCGCGCCCAACCTTACATCAAACGATTCCCCGCACTATTATCTAACCTATATCAACTAAACCAACTACCTAAATACATATACGGATCGAATTGAATAAGACTATCTGACGTTGACGAAATGAATCTTTTATGATTCAACAAACCAACCCTATCATGATTCAACGAACCAACAAACCAAGCTTATTCTAACTAATCTGAAAAATTGTATACTAAACCATATACTGTACAATCAAACCTTACCAAACTTATACTGACTAACCTAACGAAGCAAACATCGACTCATCAAAGTCTGATATTGGACGAAAACTTTTCTCTCGAATATGTCCTTCTGCTTCTCTTCAAACCTGCCTCATAAATATCGCAACCAACCAATATTGCAAATTCTTCGCGTCGGAAGAACAATGTACTCACCATCTTGAAGGTCTGTGCATTATAACGACGCAAAGATGCACCAGCAGATTTTGGCTGAGAAGTTCCGCTTTTCGAGTCGGCAGCCCCCTGAGTTCTTCCTTGTTTTGCTCTCACCGTGTACGAATGAAAAGTTTTATGAGCAACCATTTCTTTACCTGGCAAAGGCAACACAACTTTTAGTGAACACCTCGAATAATTTCACCCGACAAAAATTGAATGGCCAACCTCGAAAAATAGCAGCAGCGAAGTGTCCCCCGCTCACAAGAATTATGGCTAAGTTGAGAGTTTCGCACAATTGTTCAGCGTTCTTCACGACGTCTGTTTCAGATTGCTGACATGAAAAGTATGCATAAATTGAGGCAAAACGGTCAAGGACTCGAAACTAAGTACAGTATTGCCAAATAAAGAACTACAGAAATGCATTTCATATCTGATAAAAAAAATCAACGCCTGAAACCATGCGAACTCACTTGCGATGATTGCAACAAAGCACGATGGATCAAAATAACCTGACCAGCTGTATTTTTGAAAAATACCACGGGCTGCTCCCGTATTCTTTTCAAAACGATATCGCCACGCCTCGTGCTTTTTCTGGACGAAGGTTCTTCCACGTCAGACTCCTCTGATGAAGAACCGGAGACGCTGGAAACGTCTGAAATAAAAAAAACCTTCATGTAAACGAGCAGCCAGATTTCATGTACATTTACGATTCCGATTCAACGGGTCCGACGATTTCGAGCAAAACAGCAGAATTTCAACAATTCCAGCGAACGAATGCACGTCTTATTCCAGATAATCGGAGTGAACATTTCCTACCTCATCACACGGTAGCCCAATGAAATTATGAACTCTGAGCTTTTGTTTGAATACGAAAGCACAAAACATTTTTAGATGCCCCCGAATTAACGAAAGATCAGAAAGAAATGAACAATTCTTTGCGATCATCACCAGTCCAGTAGTAACTCGATTAGCAAGGATGCCATTGGGCCGAAAATGTGGGCAAGCAATAATTAATTTACGTTTGAGCAAGGTTTTGTCATATTTCAAGAGTCGTCAAAAATGAGGGAAAATAAAAAAATACAGTAGACTAAAATCCAATGGAACTCCTCATAAACGACGGAAAAACATGCTGTGAGACTACTTCGATTGAATTTTGCACGCATTCAAATGAAAAAGTGGAGAAAAGTCATGCGACATACCGTCATCTTTTTCTTCATTTTTTTCAAATTCATCTGCACTGACAATCGCCAGTCCCTTCGCTTTCCGTTTCACGTTATACAAATGCCAGTCAAGCTTCAAATGCTGACGCCAATTCGATATAGAGTCGAACAACACCCCGCAAACGGAACAGCCATCAGTCACACAATTCATGGGTGGCACATCCTCCTCTTTGCTACACTTTCGTTGCGGTTCATCTTCTTCCAAGGAAATGCCAAGTTTTCGACGATCTTGAAGCGACAGTGACACTGCGAGACTCAATCCCGTCAGAATTCCACAAGCACGGTTTTTTTCGAACAAGCTACATTTTTGACAACGTTCGTTCACGTCGCTTTCTTTCGACATTTCTATAAAAAGTTAATAACTGCAAGGGAGTAAAGGGTACAAAGTAAGTATCCGTCTAAAAAAAAAGCAAGGTGTGGTACAGATACGACATATTGTTTGAAGCAATGTATTCAAATACTGTATAGAAATGCATTTGTAACAAGTCAGGAAACCGACGCAAAAATCAAACAAAATTCAGTCAAAATCCTCCCTAAAAAATAAAGGGGAACCGAGCAGCAATACTGTAATTTGACTTATGCTTCCTGCCAGCGTCAAATACGCTTCTTTCATAGCAGGTTTCCCTCGACCGTCACAGAGTAATCTGAAAAAAAAAAAGAACAATGAAACCATACATTTTTCACGGTCTTGACAGTAAGAGAAGAAACCATTTTTCGACGATTGATTCGCACATTTTCGGCTTTTTTTTTGGAGATCCAATCATTGAAAATTTTCCAGTATCATCCAAATATTTCTCGAAGTGAATTCGAACGCTTCTTACCTTCGGAAGTGCTTCAATATGATTTCCACAGCAACAAGATCATATTCGTAACATAGGTCTGCCAAAAAATTTGCAAAAACTTGATAATCCTCGTCAAGCGGGGGATCTGAACCACAGCTTTCCACCCACTCCCGAAGTAAAACTTTGACTTCGTTGGTTTCTCGAATCCCGTTGATATTCGCTACACGAACCGTATTCCCGCTGTTCGATGGATGAACTCGAAACACATCAGACGGCTTCAAAAGTGACGATGATAATGGGTCAAAAACTACAGTAATAAATCATGTATGCATCATAAGTGCAGTACCTTTTGTTTCAAATCAAATGCAGAGCGAATGTCGGTTTGGTTTTTTCCAAGCGTAGCCGTTCGAGCTCCACGTTCCGCTTTCGCTCTCGGCGATCTATTTTTAACCGGCGTTCCTTTAGGACTCCTTCCCTTTGTCGGGGAGCGAAAGGGAGAAATATCTTGAAGAAATTTACCAGGACTTCCTCTGGGCGAATCGCATTCCTTATGCAATCGCCGGGGAGAGCTCAAAAGTGATTCTATTTTTGGAGCGTCAACAGCGGCTCTCACAATCTCTGACTTGGGTTTCCAATAACCACTAAGAGTTGGTTGATTTGCATTCGTCACAACACGAGCCTGGACGTTAGAGCTATGACCTTCGAGTTTCGTAGCTTGCAGACCAACTCCACGTAAATCTGATACAACGATGTTCAAGGCATTGTACAGCTTCCATGCTTCCCTGTAAAATCAAGAATAAAATTTTGCACTTCGATATCTTTGCAATGCGACGAGATTAGGTGCTACTGATGACATACTGTACCTAAAGATAGCGACTGGGTCCCTCGTTGACTGTGGTAATTTTACTTGACGCGATAAGCTATCACACACGCCTATGCCCATGTATTTGACGGGCTCCACGGGGGCACCAGGAGCACGAACTTCGAGCTTGAGGGTCAACGACGAACATTTCACGGAAATTCGTTCCATCCGGGAAGCTAGTTCTCGACTCAACTCCCTCAAAAATTCTTCAGATTCTTGATGCGAAGTAAATCTGATGGCGTAGTTCATCGCGGCTGATACCGATTTTCGTGCCTGACAGCTCATGACAACCCGATCATCCACACCGCGAGAGAAATTGTGGAGTTTTGAGCCGAGTTTCGGTCCGAATTCGGATTTGAGAGCGGCCAACGGTACGACCTGCAGTTCTCCACAAGTTGTTGCAGAGAATTTTTCTTCAATGCGCAACGACGTTGATCTGCCAACACCTAATAGTTGAGAAGGTTAAAATATTTTAAAATCTCAAATATTGTAAAACAGGAAAGGTTTGAAAAAGGATGAAAATATTTGAAAGTTTGTAAGTATGCTACCTGGTAAGTCTCGAACGGTCTGATCCTTCATGAATTCACACGCTTCATCATCTTCGACATAGAACTGGCCGTTCGGCTTCGCCAGGCGTGTAGCTAAACGTGCTATCAGCATGTTCTGGCCAAGACCAGCACTTGCTGTGCACGACGTTTTTTGCTGAAAATGAATAAATTCATGAAGGCGATACAAATTCCTATACAATATTCTAATGAAGAGATACCTGGATTTCCTCCCGTAATTTCTTGGCAAATTCGAGGCAAGTTACTCCGGTGTTAGAGAGGATATCAGTACAATCAACGAACATCTCATCACAACTGACAGCCTCAATTGCATGCGTATATCTAAGAAAAAATAGGAAAAGATTAATCCACGCGACAGTTCGTTGCGAAATATCTTACTACGAACCTCGCAACTGTGTCGTACAGAATTTTAGAAACTTCTGTGTACCCTTCGAAATCGTAAGGGATGGGGAAAAGGTCGGGGCATAATTTAACAGCTTCTCCTAAATACATTCCATTTCTGACACCTTTTGCCCGAGCTTCATAACTGCAAGATGAAACTTCGGCAGTGGAAGATTGGTCATCTAGCAGATATTTCGGGTGCTCAGAAGAAACGCTCGTCTCGTCCGTTCTTTCTTCGAAATCCTCAAAGCCTGTCAATAAATTCAGGTACAAGATACTAATTATTCGGCTCCGAATCGAAAAATTCAGTCAGACTCTAGACGAAAAATACATACTGTACTACAAGAATTTTTAAAAGTTCATCGTCCGAAATTCAAAAAATACCGCATGAAACCATCACACGAAATGAATGAAGTCGATTAAATATTGTTCTCTTACAACCAAAAATCTTCAACAGAAAACGTGTACATCATACTAACCAGGAGCATCTTGAACCAACTTCTGCTTGGCCTTGACATTTTTAGCAGCTCGTCGTTCGATTCGAAGACCAAATTCTTCCTCAATTTTTTGCCCGCGGGGCCGAACCCCGCCAGTTGCTCGGGAATGCGTGACAACCACGGGTTTGCCACGTAATTCAGGACGCTTCTTTAATCCAACGGAGACGAAAAAGCAATCCATGTCGATGTGCATCACAACTCTTTTCCTCGGCTTCTTGACTGAAGTGGAATAGGAAAAATCGAAAAAACGCACGAGGGAACGTTAATTTTTCCAGCTCAGGATATCCTGGGTGGGTTATACAGAGAATTTTTAAAATTATGATTTTTACTCGCGATATTGAAAGATTCTCATCAACTTGGTAGAACTTCCAAAGCCACTGCTACCTACATTAAAAACCGCTCCAAACCCATTCAGCCTTTGTACTCACATCCTAATTCGTTGGACGTCCCAGGGCAGGATTTGAGTAAATCTGACACCCCGGGGAATGATGTGTCTCCTTTCGCATGCAATTCAGCGACGTAATCTTTGAAATAAGTGCCCATCGTGGATATATGATGAAGACGAGATCGCCCATAAAATTTCGACAGTAGCGTACGAGCATTCGTGGAATGTGGATTCTGCTCTTGAATTTCCGAGTTTTCTGTTTCCGGTTCACTTTTTTCCAAATTTTCGTGTGAGGCACCATTGTCCGCGCTCCGTTGATCACAGGCAGTAAAAGCATAATTGCTATCATCATCGAACAAATCTTCGTCAGATAATTCCGCTTTTGTTGGCAAATCTTGGCATTTAATATTCGCAATATTCTCCTCCGCATCGACTGCGACATTCTTCGAATCTTTTCCGTCGGCGAATTTTAGAACGTTCTTCTGCACAAGATTCGGATACAGCTGATACTTGGCCCAATCCAGAAGCCGGCCTTCTTTAATAGAATCCGTAATCCATTCAGGACGAACAATTTTCTCTCCTTGAAGTTTCCGTATCTTAGCATATGGTAAATTCGAAGCAATTATGTGGGTGGTCCTTGACAAACTGTAGTAGTGATGATAGTTTCCATCGTGGATTATCATTAGACGCTTCAATTCATCAGCATTGGGCTCTAGAGAATTGGCTTATGTCAATTTTTGAATAAAGCAATGCTGAAATCTACTTACGAGTATAACCATTCACAAATATGGAGACTTGATGAAAAATTCCCTTCTTATCCTCAGTGCTGTCTCCGTTTTTTTGAGCTTTGAACTGGTCGGCCAATTTCGACTTCTTCGCCGACATGTAACCTCCCTATAAAATTCATCAAATTAAATTACATACGAATGCGAACAAACTGTAGAACCATTTTTGCTCACCCAATTTGAAAAACCATTGTCATCCCGTCTTTTTCTTCCTCGACCTCGACTAGTTTCCGCGGCATTCCGCTTCACAGGAAAACCAGATCTTCCTATCACATTCATCTGGTTTTTTTTCTAAAATGCCATCTAGACACCAACTATGAATTTGAAATTACGAAGCCCTAATAAAATTAGCTGATTATCAGCAATCAGATCACTTCGGAACAATGTAAGACAAATAAACGCTACAAACAAGTATTGCAGTGCACCAAGATAAAACTCCATAGAAAGGGCGCATGCGATTCGGTTGATACATCTTAACACTGCGCGCCATTTGCAAGACATTCAGAAGAGATAGTTTCTAACAAAAAAAAGCTACTTCAAATTCAACAAGAAGAAAAAAATTCAAGTTTATAGGTTGGAATAACAAGAACACGGACAACTCGGAAGAAATAATAAATTTATTAAAACTTTAACTCACTAGAAAAAATTGAAAGCGAAATGTGGGTGATGGAGAACGAAATAAGGAACAGCCCTAGATCTAACAGGAAAAGCCACAACAAAGCCATGGCTATTTTAAACCTTCTCGAATTTACCGTTTCACAGCCACCCAAAAGGAAATCAATCAAGTAGAACAGGTTGAACGCTTGCGACTCCGAGACGATCGAATCGACGGATTTTGTCGACACCAGAAAAGCGGACACTTCAATCAAGTAGAAAGGAATCAGCGCTGACTGAAATAATCCAAAACGAGGTAGTTGAAGCAGAATCACGTTGAAAAAAATACCGCTGGCTTACCGAGTAAAGGATAGATGAACCCAACTCCGTGTGCAGCACTAGCCTCACTGTCAAACCCAGCATGAAAAACAATAAGCGTCGTGAAGAATTATTCAGGTCAGGTGGATTCTCAAGGGGGGCGTTAGACCGCAATGGGGGGTTATGATAAACTTTCAAATCCTCATCCAGATGCTCAGATTCGACCAGCTTCGCAAATATTTCTTCGTGCCGATTTTCGACTTCAAATTCCGTTTCAGCAGCATCTTCACCACGTGAGGATACGATCGGTACATCAGTCGCGCGGAGTATGAACTGCTTCCGTTTTTCAGCATTGTCTAAAATCCGACGTCGACGACGCTCCCGCTTTTCTTCGTCGATCATTTTGGTTTCGCATAGATTTCACGAAAACCCGCCGAAAATTTCACTCGTAAATTTTAAGCATTGAATCAGATTGAAATTATGAAGTATGCGTTCAACTGGGGAAAACAAAAAGTTGAACATATATGCAGTGTTTCAGAAAAAAAAATGTCGAATACAACAAATACAAGCCAAGAATGCTTTGATCAACATCAAATCGCGCAAGAACCCCCCACGAATACCTCTCATTGAAAAATTTATTTTTGCTTTAGAATACAGTAAATTGAGTCACTTCCCTGATCTAAAGACCAACGGGAAATAAGTTGTCATAGTTTGGTATGCTAATGTGAAGTCGTAACGCGGAATAAAATGTGCATAGAAAATGTATATCCTGACATCGAACTTATTGCAGAACTTGGACTCGGTCGAGAAGTATAACGGGGTGTACGAAATAAAATGTTGAAGTTTAACAAAGGCTTTATATTTGTACAAAACGTAGAAAAAACCAAGCTCACAGGCATAGAATTCGTAAGGATAAAGAGGGTGACCCAAAACTTGCTTCCAACGAAAGAAAATCACATCTTGACCTCTTCCGAGGTTCCGTCTCATCAAAGTTTTTTTTTTTTCATCCAGATGATAGATCATAAATAGTGTATTACTTCCAATATTTGGAACCAGAGAACAGAACTTTACTTTCCCAAAGAAAAAAAATACATGAAGAATCACGTAGACGTACAGACTTCTGTCGCAAAGTAAGTATAAAGAGAACTTGAGAACACACTCGACAGTGCCCTGAAAAACACAGAATCCACTACGCATATTCCCAATTAAGAAACTCATTCATACGGCGATAAATTTAGAATAGTGAGGAAGGAGAATGAATCATAACACAAAATCTAAGATAGAAGCGGACTCTGAGACACCTATGTAAAGCGTGAACTGCGTCACAATGATTTCATGGTATTGATCAGAAATCAAAATGATTTCTGCCCCATAGCACCAACACAAAAGATGCAGAATATTTCGTGAGATCAAGCATTTAAATTATTAAATCTCTTTCCAATTCACTTGCAAAATAAGCGCGGAGTGAACCTTACATTTCATTAGGCAATCCCAAATAAAATATTTGCCCGCAGATTGAGCTCTTGGGGTCCAATTCTGCGTAAAATAAAAACGAAGATTTTCATTTATGATTTATGGTGCTGGAATGAAGATTCAAATCCCAAATCCGACGGAAAGCCCCGAAGAAACAAATATATCCTTAGAAGCACGGCGAAGGAAGCACGAAGAAAATATCAAATCTTACGTGCAGACGCATAAAAAACCAATACACCGCAGAGTCGCAACACCACCTTCTAGTAAGTAATCGAAAGTGGAAAGCAACAATATTCGAACGTAAAAGCGCGATCACAGTCACATATCTCTCCTAACAAACTGAAGTGCATCCCGCATGACTTCAAATAATTCTGCTAAAATTTTTGCCTGTTTTCAGCCGCAACTTGTGGTACTACAAAGTGTCTTCGTGTCCCGTTAAGATGTATAAATTCACGCCTTCACTTCGATCTTGTCTCCCTGCAGGTCTGCTCTGAACAACAATCGTCCTGCGAAAAGCATATGAATTTTTCCTCAGAACAGTTCCCAGCAATACTACTGTATAATTTAAATTACATCCTCGACACAGACACAGTACAACAATTTCATTAATTCTTTGCATTCAAAAAGTACAACATTCGTGAGGAGGTTCAAACATTCGGAAAAAAAATCGGTGAATTCCTCACAGAAATTTTTTAATGTGACTAATTCATACAAGGTGGATCAACTACCGTATTCGAAACTTCTTCAACCCTTCTTTACCTATTATACTTTGAACGCTATTTTGGGAACTTGAAAGAACTGGGAATTCGACGTCGAGATGAGCTTTCACACAATTTGTCACTGCTTGTTTACAGATAAACCACGATGGCCAGAAATTATTCGCCTATACTCCTGCACAGTTTTAGCTGCTGCCAAATTATTGATTTACTCAAGCTTCAAGATGGCATACAGTGATATACAGTACTGTATATCAACGATGAGGCTCTTTCATACAAGTTGAAATGTGTGCAACAATGCGACGATTACATTATTACGAGGAATATTAAATACAATACATTAACTTCGAAGGCATTAAACAAAATTCTGAACTTGCGATACAAAGATTTTTTAACTTTTGTACTCACTCCTCAATTGAACTCAACAAGTCAAAATTTCCAAGAATCACGGTTATGCTGTTTCAATGCTCTTGACAAATGAATCATAAAACTAGTGTGCAGCGGTCTCTTCACTACGTTCAATCAAAGTTTAACAGTCCAAGACTCAAACCTTTCTACTCCTAAGACCCTAAAAGATCTCGATGGGTCTGTGATCTCCTGCGTGACTTCTCCAGTGGTCAAACTGCGTCCCTGGAATCCGTGCTCATGAAAGGCAAGGACGGAGTCAGCGAGGCATACAATCCGCTCGATTGTGAAGTCAAACGTCAGCCTGGAAACAAGACGACTAGATACGGGGTGCTCCGTTCGATCATCAACAGGTCGACCAATTGGTCTCCCGTCCAAATCCATGATCTGCACTAGTTTTGGGTAAGACACAAGGATACAATCATCTCCTTCAAGTTGGACAACGTGACGTGGGCCTTTTTCACTATTCTGCGGCACAAGCGTGTCTACGAAGAGAAAAAAATGAACATCGCGGAAAATACCTCGAGAAAAGAAAGAACATTATTACCTCCGCCGTCGCAAACTCCCTCATCGTCGTCATCATCACACTTTTGAACAGTACAATGAGCGCTTGATAAATCAATCATGACCAAATCAAGCTGGTCGGGATCATCGTAACGATGTCGTGCATCAATGCATATGCGTGGATACTCAGCATCTCCCGAAATCACCATCGCAAATAGACGAGGAATTGCAGGAAACATCCAACAAACTGTCTATAAAGTCAATAATAGATATTAATAGCCAGTTTTATACCATTGAGTCAGTTTTTGCATTACTTTATACAGCAATACGATCCGAGATTGTCGAGTTGAACAGCAGAGAACTTACCTTCAATACCATAAATTTCCGGAGTGGCTCATACCACTGCATGAGGAAAACCTCAGTAGGTGTAGCTCCACACAAATACGTATAGCCGTCAAAGCGATTACGCGACACACAACAACGGAGGCAACTCTTGGTGTCCGGGATCTTTGTCGAGATGGCGAATCGGCGGGGGACAAATCTTTCCGGAATACGGTTTATTGGCCTCGGTAACGAAAATTTTTGAGTCAGCTGACTGTGCAGAGCAAGCAAGTCATGACTGTAGAGGTGAGGAGTTTTTCCTGTTGACAAAATTGCATAAAATTTAGGAAAGCAATACCATAGAACATTTTTGTTTTAAAACGAAATCATCCAACTCCAAGACTGAATTTGACAATGCTTTGTGATTCAATTTACCGGAAATGGTCATCAGCACATCTTTCATGGCGAACATCCAAGTGGTTTTTCGACCAGTAAGTAGGTGCATTGTGCCTTCATGCAGCTCGGCCAAATCCAAGGTGTAAATACCCTCGTCAGCACCAATGAGAATGTGCTGATTTCGGGTGGTGGGATGCACCCAGCTCGTGGCGTAATTAATTTTCAACGGGCAACAATTGAACACCTTGAACAGTCATCAATAAAATACCGACCAAGAAAATCACAATGCATAGAGCGAACGCTTCATACTTTTGCAAAACCAGCTCCCATATGAGCCTGGCGAGTAGGCGGAAGTCCTTTCGCGGGACCGTCGCGCGAACTAGAAGGGGAAGTTTTCCTACGGTCACGTTTTCGCGGAGGGGCTTCCGGTGGTTGCGTTGGTTCAGGAGTTATACGTTTCCCTGGAAGTTTAAAAAGGGTTGAACTCGATCATGTGTTTCCATCGTGAACAATACGATATAACGGAGTGACATGATGCTCAGAATTTTTAGACGCGTGGTTGAAGCAAGAAGACAAAACGAGAACCGTTTTGACACTCTACTGGCGGGGTGCAAAATTATACTGTATAGAACTTCATCAGCCTTGATCATTGATGAAATTCTTTGGGCACGTCAGCGTCAAATACGTGAACGCAGTGGTTTTAACTGATGTGTGAATTGAGATAATAAACTGCTTTGAATATAGAGCAACAAATTTTCGTGAAAATTTTCCGTTTTCGAGGCAGGAATCGGGACGTATCAGAGGAAAATTATTAATTAAAAAAACGTACACCAAAAATAACGAACTTGCTCGTAACGGCAAGCATTCTTTTATGCACTGAAATTTCGCAGTGCGCGTCACACTATCGGAAAAATGTATAAAGCAAAAGGGCTTTTGGTACATGGGAAAGTACGGCAAGTCTCACCAGAGGAACGCGAAGTCCGTGCGCTGGATTCTGTATCGCTCAAAGCTCGTTCAGACTGGGCTCCAAGTGTCAAGGTATTGACTCTATCCGCGAGTTCGTCGTCAGGACTTGAACCACTCACGCCTTCGAAGCTAGAATATCTCCTCATGCCTCGTCCTGAACCGGTGTGCGACTCAGCTTCCATCGCATCCTGCCAGGCGTCCGACCGCACCATAGTATCCGTATCATTTTTTTCCGTACGTCTGTTGCCAATCCGCAGAGTATCCCTGGAATTTGACAGGCAATATTTTTTCAAGAACTGTCGTAAAATAAATAAAACAGCGAGGAAAGAAAAAAGAGAATGTCATACCTCTTTTCATAAGAGTTATCGTCTGACGGCAGCAACGTACCATGGTGCCCTCTGTAATTCATGACAATGCATTAGAAACTGAACTGGTCTCAGTAGACGGAGTGACCAAACCACCAAAAGCTCAGGGGACAAACCAACAAACGAAGAGCGACAGAGACGACTGTTTAAAGGTATTAAATGAGGGGGAGAAGCTGAAACATGAAAATTGGTTGATCTAGATACACGATCATGACCAATAAATTCACAGAGACATGCGAGTCATCTTTGACGTCACAGAAATCCTGTGTGTGCCAAAAAAAAAAAAACGAACACTGGTTGAAAAAGTTTAGAGACGAGCATTTTCTTTACAGCTAGTGAACACATGCAGCACATCTCTGCAAGGCAGGCAAACAACCAGACAAAAGCAGCTAATCAAGACATAGGATAGACTTGACAATTACCTCAGTCTCAGCTCTTCATCAATAAAATGTAACAGACCCCTGCAGAAAGACAGGAAACCATACAAAATATGCATCCAAACACAGAAAACGGGACACGCCCGGAATACTTGACCAAATACCAAAATACAATGAAGGGCTAGAATGAGCGATACACGAGAGTGCCAATTACAACCCTCGGGGAGGATAAAATCAAGCAACGACGAATACGATCATACCAAGCAATGTTCTTCCTCCGAAGTTTCCACTACATACTACATGAAATGAGAAGTGAAGTCCTATTCACAACACACGTTCGAGATAATAATGCACTGTACTGTACTATACATACTAACAGAACTTCCGATCTTAAATATCAAAGTAATAAGACAATTATACAGGTACTTTTAAAATTACGATTCCATGAATTGGCTTAACTAATGTAGTACTGATGTAGCTCACTACACACTCCGATGCTTAAAATCTAAATGTAAATTATTTTCGATGAAGATCTTTTCAGCAAATCTGAAAAAAACGCATCATGCACACCAAGCAACCCGTTCCGAAAATCACAAAAGAAAAAAAAGCTAAGAAGCTAAATAAAACTGAACACACACCGCGTGTTCATAAAACGATTCAATTACAAAAATAAAATATACGACTTCCAAGCGGAAGAAAATATTAACAATCCCTAGCTTTCCGTGATTAGCGCTAGGAAGAGATTGAATTTTCAGTAAATTATGAAATTATTTAGAAGCATCAGATCAGGAATGAATTGGCATCGACAAAATCAAAGTCAGAATAACAGAACAAAGAAACTCACTTTTTTACGTCTTCCTGTTTCGCATTCTCAAGCCAAGCTTCACTAGATGTCCCCTCAATCTTAGCCTTTAAAATCAGATGAGAATCGTAACACGAACACTTAAGATTTCTGTCCAAATGCTCACTTCATTAATCTGATCATCTGTGCCAACCCAGCTAACGGCAACAGAGGGTTCGTCTGTGCGCTGGTAGGCCGAATTGGGTGGAAGGTTCATGTTTTCCACTGCCACGAAAATTAAAATAAACCGCTATTCGTTCAAGCAGAGAGAAAATTGAACCTTACTGAGTATTTCTGACCGCGTACGCTCCTTATCACGACCGACCCGTCGAGACTCGATTCTTTGAGGAACGTTTTCCAAAACCTGAAAAGGACATTCACGTACATCGGAATAATTGCATAGAAAACAAACGGGACTTTACCTCATCATCATGATCTCCATTGATTCCTCCATGCACCGGTAGAGCACGAGCTTTCTGCAGCAATTCTACCATCAATGCCTTTGTTAAATAACCGGTTACGAATTTGTGCTGCATGAAGTGAACGAGAAGAGGGAAGAGTGAAATTTCCGATGGAGATTCGTGAGCATACATTAGTATCATTTCAGAATAAATTACACTACGCTCAAAATAGCCCTCAACGCCTGTAGGGAATCTTCGTACGACGTTTCGGATGCTCAGATACGATTACTGGGTACCGCACTTAAATATTCTAAATTCGAAGTTAAAAAAATATCGCACTTGCAGTAGATGTTCCGCTGGAGGACGCTTCTTGGGATCCTTCTTCAAGGCGACTTTGATGAAGTCCCGAAAATCACTTGACCTAAAACAGCATTTTTCTATTTAAAAAAAAAATGTATTTTCCAATAATTAATGGAATATTACCATTTTTCTTTATTCTTCAACGTAGGAGGCTTGAAAGACCGCTTCGACATGATGAAAAGAGCTCGCATCGGATGCAACTCAGCATACGGAGGATCCAATTCAGCCATTTCTATCGCAGTAATGCCAACAGCCCATATATCGCAAAGGTGGTTATACCCGCCCTTCTTCTCGACGGCGGCTACTTCCGGAGCCATCCAAAATGGTGTTCCAATGAAAGATTTCCTTTTACAGAAGGTATCCGTTATTTGTGCGGAAACTCCAAAATCTGCTAGCTTCGCATCTCCTTCTTCAGTTATCAGAATGTTCGCACCCTTCGCACACACAAGAACCAAAAAAATAAAGAAGTTAAATTAAAACATGGAGCCTATCGAGCGACGTAAGCCTTTCTTTCTCAACAACATGTATCTTGATGGATAAGACGAAGTCTTCACCTTGATGTCCCGATGCATTTTTCCTCTACTATGCAAATATTCCAGTCCACGAAGAGTTTCCCGGCAAACAAAAGCGATTTGCTTTTCCGAAAGCGGTCCAGTCACTGCGAATAATTAAGAAATAATCACACTCCACACTTTCCAGAGGATAAAACTAAGCAAGATCAGAATAATTATGGTTTCACATCAATCCAGAATGAAATCCACATACCTCGGTAAAGATCCATAATCGATCCCCCACTGCAATATTCCATGCAAATGGAAAGATGCCCTCGTCGCCAATAGCTCTCATAATACGCTACAATATTCGGATGCCGACAATCCTTCAGCATGATGATTTCTCTTTCAATTTCCGAAAAATCATCCCCTTTTAACAGAAAATTAGTCGTTTTTGAAATACAGTACCTTAGAAAATACGTGGATTTTGCCATTTCGCTTAAACTGAACTCCAAGAACGATCAAAAAAATGGGAGCTTACCAGGCTCAAGTTGGATCTTTTTGATCGCAGCATACTCTCCCGTTGATATTTTCTTGGCCTAAAATTACGCAGAGGGTTCAATGACAGCCGCCGAGTGGAATAGCACGCAAAATAAGACCCAGTATAGTACATACCTTGAAGACGCTGCCGTAAGTTCCACGGCCGATCTTCTCGATAAGCTCGTAATCATCGTTAGGGTTTCGGGTGCTGATATCCGATTTAGGGAATGCTTTCGAATTAGGACCGCCTCCATACGCCATAACAGCAAATTTTCAATCAGTCAACATTTCGCGGTTTCAACGGATCTTAGATGTACAAAACGGAAGCAGCATTCCCGTCACCAAAGAGTTTCACTTCATGGCCCTAAAATTGTAACGATAAGGGTTTAATATCAAGATACTGAGCACGAATACTGCTACAAGTTTGGAGCTCCGGTAGTTTAATCCGCACACTCCTCATTACAGAGGCAAAGACGCGATGAGCTTCCTCAAATTTCACTTCACTGCCTCCAACAGTCGGATTTCAGCATGCTAAACGAATTGTGAATATTGGATGCTTTACAGTATTTGGCCAATACTGTGAATCGCCATCCACCTCTCACCTGATCCCTCTTTCGGCCACCCAACCCGACTCAAGTGAATGACTAGACCATTGTTCGTAGCAAATATCCTTGAGAGATGGGGCTCGACGTACAATGCTTGACGCCCGGTGGTTAAAGCGACATCTTCCTTTGTAGAATCAAAAGTTGTGCATCTGTCTCACCCTCTGCTGCGAGGTTTCACACAGAAGCGGCGCAGTGACGTGCGAGGTCGGGTGGAGTCTGATCCATAAGTAATGAACATGCAGGGTGACGTGTTCAAGATTGCTGCGATTTTTATCGTAATCCAGAACAGTGCAGTACTGTACTGTGATTTCCTAAGCTCGTCTGTGATTTCTGAAGCATTACTAGTGTCGTGCCTTGTCGCAGGGAATGATCCCACGAAAGATTCTAAAATGTACTGTATTCTTTCAGATGATGAAAAGCTACTTGTGTGTTCTTGCCTATTTGGTCGTGTTTGTTTCGGCGAAACGCGACCGTACTCTGGTCCTACTCGACAATCTTGCTACAAGAGAAACGCATTCAATCTTCTTCAAGTCTTTACAAGGTACTGTTCAGGCGCAGCTTTTCATTCGTGGAATATTCAAGAGTGCGGCCTTCTTTCAACAGAGCGTGGATTTTCCCTGACTTACAAAATTGCTGATGACCCTGGGCTCGTTTTGACGAAATATGGAGAGCCATTGTATGATAATTTGATCATATTTTCTCCAACGGTGGAGGAATTCGGTGGAGCGGTGAATGTTGAAGCTTTGACTCAGTTCGTCGACGATGGAGGTGAACAGTCCGTAGAAATCTTGAAGATTTTTTATTTATTTCTGAAGACCATATTTCCAGGGAACATATTGGTTGCAACGAATGCCGCTGGAGGAGACATTCTTCGGGAATTCGCTACAGAGGTTGGAGTTGAAATGGACGAAGAAGGAGCCGCCGTAATCGACCATCTGCATTTCGACGCAAAAGATGAAGGCTATCATACACTTGTTCACGCGTACCCGAAAGACCTAATTCAAGCTCCAGTTATCGTTGGAAAAAGTAAAGACGACTCGCCCTTCCTTTTCCGTGGGAAGGGATTACTCGTTGATTCTGAAAATCCTTTGGTTCTGGAAATTTTGACTGCATCTTCATCGGGTTATTCATATCATCCGGATCGTGAAATTTCCGAATATCCGCATGCAGTTGGCGTGAATACGGTTCTTATCGCTGGCATCCAAGCGCGCAACGATGCTAGGGTGATCATATCGGGATCTCTCGACTTCTTCTCGGATGAATTTTTCGAATCGAAAGTGCAGAACGGAGTCACTGGAAAACATTGGGTGAAATCCGGCAATGAGAAACTCGCCATTGCGTTGTCTCGATGGGTATTCAAAGAAGAAGGAGTGATCAAAGTTGGGAAAGTTCGGCATTATCGTGTGGGAGAGACCTCACCACCGCGAGCTTATACGATAATGGAAGATGTCGTTTTCTCAGTCGAAATCTTGCAAGTGGGAAGTGATGGAAAGTGGGTCCCGTTTCGTGGAGACGACGTTCAACTCGAATTTTTCCGAATTGATCCGTTTGTGCGCACTTCTCTGAAACTAGCGAACGAAAAGACCGGTCTGTACGAGGCACGATTCAAGATTCCAGATGTTTACGGCGTGTTTCAATTTAAAGTTGATTATAATCGAGTTGGCTATACGCATTTGTACAGCTCAACTCAAGTTTCCGTCCGCCCACTTGAGCACACGCAGTACGAACGATTTATTCTGAGCGCTTCGCCGTACTACTTGAGTGCTTTCAGCATGATGTTCGGGGTTTTCTTGTTTTCATGTGTGTTCCTTCATCACAAAGACGTCGTGAAACAGAAAGAAGAATGATCAGTTATGCACGTTAGTTTATCGCTGTTCACGTTTTTGTTTGATTTGGCACTGCTTTGTTGGGTGGTAATTAAATGAAATGTCAAAGGATTTTCATCGGCTTCTGTTTTTAAAGCATTTATATGGATGCTTGGATTTCTTTTGAAAAGATTATTCCTCATTTCAGATGACGGCCGGGTTCTTGATTCCATTTTTCTGACAGCGGTTCAGAACCTGGATTTAGTTTGCTATCATGGACGTTGATGTAGGTCGGGGAAATATTATATCTAGCAAAAATGCAGCTCCAATCAATATTTCTATTGGTGCCTCTGGTGACATGGCGTTCGACAATCTCTACCCGGCCGTCATTGAATGCTTTTTTGTAATTATATGCGGGTATGTATTTAGTCCTATGATTAGGAACTCTTAATGATTCATTCGAAATTTCAGCTACATCGCTGGAAAAGCCAGTCTGATTTCACCGTTCGAAGCGAAAGGGCTGAACACGTTCGTCGGAACATTCGCACTACCGTGTCTCATATTTCATTCTTTAGCTGAGCTGAACTTCGCGTGAGATTTTTAGCTTGTAGAAAACTCGGCGTGTTCGATGGACATATTTTTATTTTTTTTTATTGCCAGTTCCGTCAATTGGAAGTTTCTGCTCGCAATTTTTATATCCAAGACCGTTGTATTCATCATTGTTGTCCTCATTACGATCCTCGTCCATCGGCCTGTGGATTTCGGACGATCTGGCTTGTATGCTATTTTTTGCACGCAGAGCAATGACTTCGCGCTTGGATATCCTATCAGTGAGTTTCGCTTCGGTCTTCGTCTTATATTTATTGTTGAAATTTGAAAATGATGTCCTTTGATTACAGTTTTCTCGCTTTATAAAAACATTCACCCGGAATTTCCATCCTACTTGTACCTTGTTGCTCCCGTTTCACTGGTCTTCTTGAATCCAATTGGATTTGTGATGATGGAATGGCAAAAACGGCGGGATGAAGTTCGTTTGGGAGAAATTGAAGCATCAAAAGATAGCGCTGGAAGCCTGTGTCTACAAATCGCTGGAGGAGTTGCGAAAAATCCGATCGTAATTATGACGGCACTCGGCATAGTGGGAAATTTTGCTTTCCAACAATGTGTTCCAGCGATTATCGTCGGTATTCTCAAGGTTCGATTCAGGCTTGCCTTCTAGCTTCGAAAATTTTTCGAGTATCAAAACGACATTCTTTCTCATCAGGTATTCGCGGCAGCATATCCTGCCACAGCTTTGTTCGTTCTTGGATTAAGATTAGTCGGGTCTTTAAGACGGTTACATGGGGCTGCTCTTGTTGTTCCTGCCATCCTAATTATGACGAAAGGGTTAGTGTTTCCTGTTGATGTTTTGTTTCATGTATGCTTGATCTTTCTTTTTTCAGGTTGGTGTTTCCCTTGATTACTCGGGAAGTTGTTGATAATTTACAACCTGGTACCACCGCTAACGAAACGAAAGACTTCAGCGATTACGGGTTTTTGTATGGAACTTTCCCAACGGCGCCTCCTGTTTTTGTCTACGCAGCTCAATATAATATCGAAGTTGATATGGTAAGTTATTTTTGTGGGTATCTTTACAAAATTGCAATAAATTATGAACCCTCGGCATTCATAATTTATCTTCGAAAGATTGCCAGTGCTATGGTCATCGGTACATTTCTATCCGCCATGGTGATGTTTGTCTCTGCGAAAATGGTGACGTTAACGAATGTGTTACCGGACGACTATATGGATCAACTGAACGTCTTCCTTCTGAACGTTGCTATCTTCGGGATCATAGCTTCCGTTGGAGTGATTGGCATATTCACAGTGACTCGGAAATGGCGGAAGATGCCGCATTTTGTCACGTTTTGTCTTGTCATATCTCAGGTGGGTTAGCTAGGTTTTTTGTAATTGAACCGATGCTTGAAGCTTCTTGTTTCTAAATGAACAGTTGATCGCTTGTATTGGGGTGATCATGTGGTCTCTAGTGGACTGCACGGATCGTTGGAAATTGTACCTGCAATTTTTCGTCTTTTCGTTCGGCGTATTTTCATCACGGATTTGGACCGCGCTTCTGGCGATCAGCTTGTTGCTAGTACGCTCGAGGAGTTCGACCGTTGTGCTCAGATATCGGAAATATTTTCCGATCGTCGGTTGGTTGTGAGTTAATCGATGAATTATTCCTAAGAAGCCATTCTGATTCGGCAAGGTGTTCCTGCGGGATGCGGATTTAAAGAAAAATGTAGTGTTTTTTGATTAGGTGACTCATTATTGGACGTGAATGAAATTCATTTGTAATTGAGGTTCTGCTCATTCACGAAAAAATATGGTTGAAATTCCAGCAGCACGCTTCGATTTTCAGCCGTTAGTTCGTTCTTGTAACCTTGGATTATCCGCTGCCTTTCCGCTAGCTTTGAAGTTTTCAAAATTCCTTATGAAATTCTATGCTGTATACTAAATGGCAAGCTAATTTATCAAAAGCTGAACTTGACATCAAATCCAGTAAATTTGTATGAGCATGCATAACACATAGTAATTTTTGCAGAGCTACCCATCAAGAAATTTCCGACATTTACACTGAATAATCTATTTCCCTGTGTAATACGTACACAATTCACAACTGTTCAATCTGAAAGGCCAACTTTGTTATGTGATTGGTGGCCTACTGCATAATTACTGTATTTAAATTTGTTTACCGAATTTCATATACAGTATATCTTCTTTAAAATATACAGTAAGTTGAAAAGGTATCTTTTTTACCTAGATTGCCTGGGGTTATCGCAAGTTGCTTATTGGGCGTCGTGGCGATTGAAGCTGAGCTGATACAAAGACGTGACCCGAATTTCCAATACGGGCGAACTCAGGCGGTGGTTGCCCTGATAGTGTTGATCGTTTGTTTCCTGACCACGGTTTCATGCCTGATAGTGCAACAACGTCTGAAGCGCAATTACCCGGGCGGACGAGCCTATAGACCCGTTGTTTTTGAAGCAGGAGAGGATGATGAACTACTGGATGATGATGGTGACACTGATTCAAGCGGTTTAAGATCGAATCGACGTCGAAGACGTAGTTCTGGAATGAATGACGTTGATAATGATTCTCTGTCGAGCTACGGAGTAGCCAGCGAAATGGAGGTTTTGGAAGAAGTTTCCGAACCGCCAAGCTCGGCGGTGTCCAAAAACCCTTCGTTCGCGACGAAAAACGCTCCTTCAGTTGAGCAAGATGTCAACAGGTATGATGGTCCGTGATCTGCAAATGTTTCTTTTAATGTGAATGAATACTATTTGAACAACAGTGAGTCCCGTCATAACGAAAATTCCGAATTACGAAAATTCTTCGTAATTCGTAAACAAAACGACTTTGTTTCTCGTAACGACATTTTTGACTTGAAAACGCTCAAATTTTGGCAATTTTCGGACTAGAACTTGAGTACGATATTTTTCCAAAAACTGATGAAAATTCAAGGAAAGGTGTATTTTGCCTCTTCGGGATTTTGAAATTTGTGAAATTCAGAAAGTTGTAGTGCCTACAACAAAATTCAAGGGACAGGGAATTGTTGTACAGAACCATTATAAAATGGGGAAGAGAACCCTGTGGGTCAAAACAAGATTCGTTATGCGGCGAAAACCGTTGTAGACGAGATCTTCGTAGATAGAGTCCGCCTTTAGCTCTAACTTTTCCGGATTCTTCAAGTTGAACGTGAATCAATTTTAAATTCACAAAGTTACGCTGAAAACGAAGAATAATCTGCATGATGGCTTTTGATGAGTATGAAAATTAATTTTTAATGTAATCTGCAAGGGAAATCGCGTTACGAAAATTCCGCGGAACGAAACGAATCAGTTTATGGGGATCCTCTGTGCAAGCATAACCCGTGTGTAATAGATGCAGTTAGTACAGTATAATCGAAGAGTGAATTTGCCTATGCTTTTTGTGTCTCGTTCCAGGATCACAACGGATCTAGAGCATAATGAAGGCGATCAATCCCCTGAAAAACATACCCGTCGTTCGCGTAGAGCATCAGAAGCCGCAGCCAACCGTTTGCGAAGACAGCACACGGTTGCTCTTCAGCAGATGCGCTTATCTCTTCTGTCTATGCAAGATAATGCCGTCGCTCGTGCTCCATCGACTGTTGCTCTGAGTGCAACAATGCGAGCTTGTTCTAGTCATTTCAATTCACTTTCGGGAAGTGCGAGATTACAGTTTGAAGAAAGCACCTTAACGAGGGGCAGGGATAGCGAACATCAACTGCTTCGCCACGTTATATTGCTCCTGATTCTATGTACTTCGATGCTTGTGGTGAGTGAATGCTCATTAATACGCATATCGTATCATGCTTTTCAAAGAAGTAGAACTACGAGTCTCAAATACTGTGCTTAAAAAAAGTAAGGCCAATAAAGAATACTTACCGTTAAATTTAGTAAATTTCATTTAAATTTGAAGGAGATACACAGTTGTGACGCTTCTTTGACCGTCCGATTCTTAGTTTCTTACAGAAGTATATTTTCAATAATGCCTGATAAGCAATTTTTTATTTTCCTCACCCAAAATGTAAATTGAATTGTGGTAATATTTTCTAGCTTTATTTTGCGGCTGGCGCTTATATTTAAGATTCACGGGCTCCAGAAAATTGTCCGGCTTATTTTTCTGTCGTGTTTTGCGGATACCCAAGAGAATTGGGCGAACCGAGAGAAACTATGAGTAATTTTCTGCAATCCTCCAATGGAGAAAATGAAAGTTTCATGGAAGATTTGCGGTCATCTACCTGAAGTTTTGAAGTTCACGATATAAGTTTGTTGTTGATCTTGCTTTACAGGGACTTTCACTTTGCCTGTGGACGTTAGTAGTGGAGGGAAATTCGGGAATTTACATTGAACTGGTCTTCCTTGACGTTGCGTTGAATTTTGGTCAAAGTTTCTTCGTATTCGCTTTATTCGGCTTGGACGAGAAGCTCGTTATTGCTCCGCTGTTGAAGAGGTGAGGAAAAGATAATTTTCTTCGACCGTCTCGGCGTCGGCATCGTTTTGCAAAATTGTTTCGTTGTACATTCGCAGGTGGAGGCGTTGTTTCCATGGCACTGTTTTAGTGGAACCGCCGCCTCCTGGGAAACTGTCCCCAGAAACGATATTCACTTGTCAACAATTCGTTTCTTACCACATGGATAGTTGCGTGCGGGATATCGTCCGTGATAGGAAGTAAGTCAGCTTTCGTTCAATACCGTGGTCTTCGATGTTCCAAACTCAAATTTGCATATACAGTATTTGTTTAAATGCGTATGTTGTTTATTCTCGAATACTCGGGTACAGTGGTCTTTTCTTTGCTTTGAGTTATTAAGCACGCAGCGACTATTGTGGTCTGGCATTGAACATGATTTCTGAGAATTTATTTGTATATTCCATCATTTGAGTGATCTATCGGTGGCGTGTTGGGATAAAACCGCTTCTTCGTCTTGGCTAGGCATTCCACATGGAAATAACCCTGAAGTTTTAGGACATCGCGATTTTAAAAAATTATTTTCTAGTTTTTATCCGATCTGCGCCAAATTTTAAAAATGTATTACAGTAACAGAGGGCGATGTATCAGATGAGATCTCGAATTTGAAGTTATCTCAAGGAGACGCACTATTTTTATTTTTTTTAATTCCATAATTGTTTACTATTGATCAATTGTTTATATGCCTTGAATGTCACTTTGCCATTAGCGGTGCAGTTTCATAATTTAAATGATCATATGTGGATGGAAATTTAAGAACAAGAGTTTGTTGCGTGCACGCACTTCTGCGCCAGGTGTAGTTTCATGAAACTCCGTAAAAAAATATTAATTTTGTGTCTCATATTCAAGTCTAAACATGAGATGGAATGAAATTTTGCCCAGGCGAGAATATCATTTGCAATGCGAGACGAGAAGTTTCGGGAGGCTTTTTATTTTTTGTTCGTTGATTGCTCTTGGTGCAAGTGTGGTCGTTGATTTTTGGTTTTTTTTTTCTGCTCGGACAGGTTCCGGAACAAGTTTTACCGGCAAGCTTTCTGTGGGAACGAGTTTGTTGACTGGGTGCTTGTGGTTGGACTCGCGCCCGATCGCGCACAGGCGGCGAAGTACGGCAAGCATTTGCTGACTGGCCGCGTCCTGCGTCACTACGACAACGAGCATCATTTCCACGACCAGCCGCTGTTCTATACTTTTTGCGACCCCATTGAACGTGATCGTTTATTTCAATCTTTCGATCCGGGAACGGAGTAGCGTGGAATTTTCCTGTGCTGTTTTAGTGAAATAATTTCGCTTTAATTACTACCCCAATTTTTTAAATATTTTCAAATCAGGAATTCGACGAGGCTCTCAAAAAAAAAGGAGGAACTACTGTACCGTATTTGTGAATGTGACTTGCGAAAATCGGTTCTCTGAAATAGTTCGAAACCTGTGGCGATTGTGAAATTTTTTTCCTAGTTACACTGTTTGAACTCTATTGAACAATTTTATTTGTGGATTTCATTCAGTAAAAAAAAAGCCGTTGGAACATTTCGTGCTGATGGAAAAAAATTAGCGTTAGATAGTTAGAAATCTTGTGGACATTTCCCGAAATTTTATGAGTCTCTTCTACGTAAGCTGATCAAAGATTCTGAGTGTGCGCACCCAAAAATATGTTTCTCCGGTATCAAAATAACGACTGGCGTGTCCCTATTCAGACCTTTTTTTTATGTTAGTAACTGGAAGGTGAGTTTTCATGCGTAGTCATGACTTCACATCAGCTAGTGGAAGATTTTACACTGCATTATAAAATGTTTCGCTTGGATGTATGATTGTAATTTCAAGTATGTAGCCGATGTCTTGCCGTGAAAAGCGGGAAATACGATGATGATGTGGGGGAGAGGTCTCAATTTTGTGGGAAAGAGGAACCCGAGTGAATCAGTACCTAGTGAATAGTATACTTGGACTACTCGTGCACAAAGTGTGCTAGTGAGATGTCAGTCATAGACTGAGGTGTTCGGTTTGTCTGCTTTGCTTTAATGAGGAAACTTTTTTTGGGAAATTTGATCGGAATCATACCATTGGTAGGAGCCCAGCGAGTTTTTGGAATGTATACTGCTCAGTGTATTGGTTGCAATTTATTTGATTTATTTTTGTGAAACGCACGTGTTCGCGCATTTTTGTTCTGATTTGCGCGACTGTTAAAATGAACGGAGGAAAATGATTTTATTCGTTGTTTTTTTTTTCGAGTTTTGTATTTAGTCACCTTGGATTCTCTTGACAGGTCGGCCGGGATTTGATTCTATTGGGCGATAAGAAACTCCATGCGCGTATAGAAGTTAATAGTTTTTTCCCCCCAGCGTGGTGACTTGGTTTCTGATCCCACGCTGGATCATCCAGAAGTGATGGATCGATTCGTGATAGACTCGAAATCGGTCGTGTGGTGACGAAAATTCATTACCAGAATCAAATGAACTGCATGAGAATTATTTCGAAAACTATTTCGCTTTGGTGTTAGTAATCGTATTTTGTGCGAATCACATTTTTCTTACCGTATTTACGCGAGTATAAGACGTACTCCATATGTTTCAATCGTATTATCAATTTACAGCTCATCGAACTGAAGAAGGCGTGTATAGTTGAAGATTTTATGACGCTTTGTCACTTGCTTCACGATGCGCTATTATTGGCACCATTGTGAGGTGTGTATGCCAATGACTTCCCTGATTTAGTAATTATTGTATTGAATGACATCTCCGTCAACACAACGCTTAATGATGTCTATGACAACAAATATTGATTCACTTCAGTTTTTTTCATTCCAAATGAACCCTGCAACGTACCGAAGTTTTCACTATACTAGCATGTTGCTGATGAAATCCTACTCTGATAAAACCGCCATGGGGTTTTTCTCATTCGAAGTAAATACAGGACAAAAAACATTCAGTTTTCAGTACTGTATATCCTGTTGAAATACTGTATTTGATTACAATTTTAACTGCTTTCGAGATATTGTATTGGATTCGTTCAAATGAGTGATGATATGGTACAGTATAATCATTTGATAAGGCACAGTGGGCTTTTGCACCACCCCGTGAATTAAGCGTCTGGCATGCGTACCTAAAACGGAATATTTTTACACGTACCCCAATTTTTTGAGAATCAATTTAATTAAAGAATGCGCCTTATATCTGCGCAGGTCAAGGGTTACCTTGTCTGAAAATGACGTGGTTATTATTCACATGTAACTTATTTTCGTGCTGTAATCGCATCGTTTAATGGAAAACTTCGATACTCAGATTTGTGTACGCATCGGCTTAGATATGACACAGATTGTCAGACTTTTTGCTGGAATTCTCCCGACAATCGTCTTGTCGCCAGTGCTGGTGGCTCCGGCTTTCAATTTCGATGGTATGAATTCCGATGTGGATGGGCAAGAGCAGTATCGCGGTGTTGTTTACCGGGGATCCGAGGAAGACGAGTTCGATCGTGAATACAAAGGCAGTTTGTTCAGGAGCAATGGGATTCCCCCGAACATTGTGTTTATTCTTGCGGATGATCTAGATCTCACCTTGGAAGGGATGGTGAGTGACTTTCGAACTCTTCTGTGAACTGAAAAAATTCCTGCTTGATTCGATACATACACAGTATATGAGATGAACTTTCCGGGATATCCATCAAATGACGAGGGTCGGTTCAGAAGTTCTGAGCTTTGAATAACATTCCTCTGCTGCTGGATAGGTGGAACTGCAGGGCGTAAATGTTGATTTTCATTTTGTGGCCCTTTCAAAAGCTTGACCGTCAAGTTTTGGTCAACCATCTTGAGATGTAAAGAGAAAGACTGTTGGAAATTCACCCCAAATATAATCTACCTTTTGTGTTTATTAAATTTGAAGGCGTGTCCGACTCCTGCCAAATGATTCGAATGCCGTTCAAAAGTTCTTTCTATTTGATTACAATCGCATGAATCTGACAACCATTTTCCGATGAAATATTTATTGGACTTGGCATTTTGTTTGTTTGCCGGGAAATATTTATTGGATTATTTTCAGATGAAATATTTATTGGATTTGGTTTTTTTGTTTGTTTGCCGGGAAGGCTGCCCGTTTCAGTCGGTGAGGAGAAATTTTTTGAAATTGATGAAATTTTTTGATGAACGGCGGCTCGCGTAAATTCTGATTACAAATTGAACAGCGATCGCCAGGACTTCGGTATAGAGCCTTTATTGGATGGGTGCCCGAAAAGCTGTGAAGTATTTTCAAGTACTGTACATGTAACATGAAATGATTCGCCAGAAATTATGAACCCACACCGTCATCGTTTGATTCGTTGAGTTTTACCGTATCTTTTGAAAGTTTTGATCGTGTATTCTACAGACTCCGTTGGAGAAAACGAAAGAAATACTCGGTTCCGGAGGAGCGACTTTTAGTAACATGGTGAGTCACTGATGGTTGAATCACCGTTCAGCCGCCATCTTGCAACGCTAACCATTCCCGATGAGCCAATTTATTGGCGTTACGTCATGCAAATATTGTATATTACAAAATTCAACGACGGATACGTTGGAAGTCACTCCGCGGAATGAAAAATCGTCGACAATTTAATTTACTATCTCGTCATTTCCGCCAGAAGACCCGCGTGCGTGTCACTTGGAGTAGATCAGTTTCGAGCATGTAGGCTCAAAATGTCCTGTACGCAAAAATTGAAGGCACAGATTTTATCTAGAAATTTTTCTGAACTTGTGGGAATTTGAAGCAATCAATTTTTTAGCAGGCCATTGTTGCTTTCATAGTTGCGACAATTTCAAGAACAGTGCTTGTTAGCACCTGTTATTATAGCTGAGAGCTAGTTTTTCAACCTTTTTGAAGCGCGTACCCCTTTTCATCCTCTGGAACAGTCAGGTACCCCCACCACTAACTTAAAATGTGTGTTCAAATCATGTAATTAACCATATTTTCTAACATTTCCTTGAAGCTTCCTAATTATACATTAAAACAAAATTTACTCCATCAAATCTCTCTTGTATTTCACCTTTATTGATGAAGATGATGCATCAGGTAAACAATGTATGTCAAATATGGAAATTTAGTGACTGTTGAAGTTTTGAACTAGTGACTGCTTTATTTTTGGTGAATTAAAAATACTAGTTCCATGAAGTACAGAAACAAATTAGTTCTCAGAAGGTTATTCTTGGGCCAGATCACTTTCTTTTTGCATCTTTGGTTCATTGAGAAATTGATTCATACTAAATTATTTGCCTGCAACATATTCCACATAGAAATTATATAAATGCTTTGAAATTCAGCAGGTTCAGCATTATCAAATATTACATTGAAAAAAATGAAGCACTGTGCCTTGCCTCCACATTGACCAGCCTTATTAATACTCATGTATGTCAGAGCAAAACTGTTCATCAAAGAGACACCAAGTGAATTCACTTGTCATTCATTGCAGCAATAAATTCAGGACAAACTCTATTTTTTTTAATACAGAAAAACTGCATTATTCTCCAAGTGAATTTCCTGAAGATATTTTCCAAGCATGAGAGACAATTTGTAGCTACCATCAAGGTGTGATAGAATTAATAATCATCATCACTCATTACAATTTAAAGTTCAGCATAAGAAATTTGAATTAAGCTGCAGCAGAACTGTGGCCCAGTGGGCCACAACTGGCACATGAGCAGGGGATTTTATTACTTGTTACAATCCCAACTTAATCATAATGCAAATTATGTGAAGCATTTTAAAATATTGAATGATTAATGCTGATATTGAATGATTACATTTCAATGACCATCAGTAATTATGCACATTGCCCAGGTGTGGTTTGACACCACACTTACCTAATTTGATAAATTTGCTTGCCACTTCCCTAGGTTGGCAAATTTAAAAAAAATATATATATGGATTTCCATTCCTTTCCACTCCCTGAGCATCCCCCCCCCTATGAAGTAAAACATTTTGACTCAATTATTGAAAACATTTTGTGTTTTTCATCATACCTCTTGTCAATTCTGGATATTTTTAGAGTTTAAAATAAGAAAACATGGAACACTTTACCACCCATCTTACCTTCTTTCAATTTTGAAGTCTGGTGCCATAAAACCATTTTTTAAATTTTGCAAATGTCAAAATTGGGATTCAAAAATTGAAATATTTAAATTTAGCACATTGTAATTTTTTAAATTTTGATCTATTTAAAAGTTTATCGCGGGGTTAGATGCGGACTAAAGTTTTAAAAATTACAAATTTCTTATTTGGGAGAATGTTGGAAGTTGCATCAGTTAAAAATAAAAATGTTTAAAGATTTATCCCAATTTTCTCCTGATTTTGAAAAAGTTTAGCATTTTTCATTGTCAATCCATCAATTTGAAGCCTATTTAAAAATTGAAAAAAACCATGGTGTTTGTAATTAAAGTTTTAAAACTTAGTTTGGTTGAATATTGAATGTTTAGCAAATTGTTGAGCTTCAAGAAATGGGACACAAAAATGTGAAAAATTCTCTTTAGCTCACTATAGTTTCTTTAAAATTCGCTCTATTTCATAATTTTTTGAAGGGCAATAGATGCGCATTAAAGGTGTACAGATTTAGAAATTTTTGAATCAGGACAAATTTTGTAAAATAAATTATTGCAAATTAAAATTTAAACCAATTTTTCCCAATTTTGGCTTGATTTTCAAAAATGTTTTGCATTTGTCATGATATCTCACTAAAGTTTGAAGATTTTTCAAAATTTCAAAAAAGGAAATTTAGAAAACCTCTGTATGCCTTCAAAATTTGAAGAAATTTGAAAATTAAATCAAAATTCAATTCTGGACAAATTTTTAAAGTTTGGACAACAGGAAAGGTGACCCTGGTGCATGCCTCTCTGGGGCTCTGCTGGGGAGGGAGGTAAGGGGCAGGAAGGAAGGGAGGGCCGGCGCAAATTAAAAAAAAAGTGTGAACCTAGGATGGCAAGCAGACACTCAAGCAATTTTCACCTCCACCCTTCTGGTCAAAAGAACACATAGGTTTTTTTTTTCAGGAGGCAGTGGTTGGCGTACCCCCTGGCAAGCACTCGCGTACCCCTTGGGGTACGCGTACCACCGGTTGACATCTGCATTGCATTACCGAAACCAGAAGATTGGGAAAAATACAATCGTGTTTCTGGTTTTGAGTTTTAATATTAATATCACGAATTTATAATAAAAAAGAAAATCACCGCACACGGCACACTTGCAAAATGTGCTCTTAGAATAGGGTTGCACATGTATCTGATGTATCCATGAGAAAATAGGCGCGATGAGAGATGATCTGAAAGGAACAACATTCCCCTGAAAAAGAGGAAATCCATATACAGTACATCATACAGTATACAAATTAGCTGTCTCTTATGCGTCAATGCGTGTTCGAAATTTAACTTTTACTCATGTATTCACGTGGTTTTTTTGCATTGATCATGCCTATATTTGGTGTACAATCGAAAACATGAGCGATAAGTCGCTTTTCCAGTCATGATACTGTAGTAGAGTTCAGCGAGTACAATATCTCTTAATTGTATAGCTGCTGACCCATTTTCTCAACATTTTCTTCCGCTTCCCGTCGGAATTTTGCATGACAAGAGCCATCTAAATTTTGAACAACCTTTTCCTTATCCATGTACGTAGTTCGCCACCACGCCGATCTGTTGTCCAAGTCGGAGCAGCATCCTCACAGGACAATACCAACACAATCATCAGGTGCTAAACAATTCTATACCGGGGAATTGCTACGGAGACACATGGCGAGCGGTTCACGAAGAAAAATTTTCCTTCGCCCCGTACTTGAAATCTATGGGTTACACGACGTTTTATGCGGGGAAATACCTCAATCAGGTACGGTGTGAATTTATTTTCTCATTTTTAGTTTAAATTATGGCGTGCTGATTCAGTATGGTCATGAGCGTGCCGGGGGAATTCGACGCATACCGATTGGATGGGATCATTGGGCTGGATTGGTTGGGAATTCCGTGTACTACAACTATACCTTATCGGTCGATGGGAATCCCGAGGAGCACGGGGATCGACCAGATGAAGATTACCTCACGAATGTTATTGTAAGTGGAAATCTTCGAAAATCCCTTGTCATAGAATTTGTTTTCGAATGACGAGCAACTTCCGTTAAAATTCCTGTGCTACTAGCTATATACGAGGTTGTCCCATTTATGGAGTTGTTATTTCGAACTCCATAAACAAATTTAAAATTTTCAACAATTTTCTTTGGATTTTCCAGGCCTATGGAATTTTTTTCAGATTTTTATGACCTATTTTCACCACCCTGCGGTGAGAAGTAAGAGTGTTCCCATTAAATCCGGAGTTGTCACCTCATTCAAGTCAGCTGAAAATTTATCGAGAAAATTAAAACTCTGAAACGTCTTCCTCGTGTTGATTGTCATATTCTCCACATTTGGTGAAAATTGTTCGGATAATTAGTTTTTTTTTCAACGAAAAATAATAATCTGAAATTTTTTGAGGATTGCAGTGGCGAGGGGTTCATTTCTAATTTTCTATTACAGTATTAAAAATCGCCCAGGCAAATGTTTCCTGTCTGTAATATTATTTTTTATTCATTACACTGAGGTTTCATATGAAACTTCGTAGAAAACTTTTCCTAGTCATGGTCATAGTACTGGGAAGTGCAGTGGGGGTAAATCCAGTTCGTTTTTATTTCCTCTGCATCACCCAGTCGTTCTTCCATCAGTTTCGCAAGAATTTAAAAATTGGGAGAAGCAAAGAAAATTTGTTTGAATCATCAGGTCAAAATTCCACCCTTCCAGGGTAGGATTTAAAAAGGACGGAAAGAAGGGAACTTGGAGCCCAAACTTTTCTCCGGAAGCCCATACAGTATTTTCAAGATATGAGTGAATCTTTTCTTTACTTGGCATGGATTATTAATTTATCCGTTGGGAATTGAATGAAATAATGTTTCTACTCGTCAGAAAAACAAGTCTTTGGATTTCCTGGCGAAGTATGAACCCGAAACCAATGGTCCACTGTTCATGTTCATCGCACCACCAGCTCCTCACGCTCCTTACACACCCGAGCCCAAGTATGAGAAGGCTTATTCCTATGTTCGTGCCTTGCGAACTCCGAACTTCAACACAGACAATGTGGATGTATGTCTGACTTTTTTTTTTAACGCGTCGATAGCATAGTAGTAGCCAAATTGTTGAAATTTTGCACGACGAAAGCGATATTTTTTCTTCTGCATAGGACAAGCATTGGTTGCTTAGACAAGGTCCACATCCGCTACCAGCTGGAGTCGTTGATGAAGTGGACGAGTTTTTCCGGGATCGATGGCGTTCTTTATTGTCCGTCGACGATCTGGTTTCTGACGTGTACAATTCTCTGGCAGAGAAGGGAATGATCGACAACACTTTTATTGTTTTCACATCCGATCATGGGTATCATTTGGGTGAGGGGTGAACTTTTGTACTTTTTTGACATTATTCATACAGTATAACATCGCTTACAACGACCCAATGTTTAAAAAAAATCCAGGAAAACGAAGAAAAAATAGGAAAATGATGATTTTAACGTTGCTGAAATTTTACGACAATCGCATTTTCTAGTTTTTTAGGAAAATCACAGCGCACGAGGTAAAAATTCCACTTCGGTGGAAGGGCTGGGGACATTGTACGCAAAAGCCTTTTCTGTGAATCCGATAACTACATTAAAACCTAATTTCTATTCATGAAAATCATGATTCGGGGCATTTGATGTGGACATGAGCGTGACTCATGTTATCCTTGAGGGAATTTATACGAAAGAGCCAACTAAGGAATCACCAAGTACGCATTCATACTGCGAGTGACGTGTATTATTTCAATGTTTCAGTATGTGACCATGTTTTTTTCGTTTGTTGATGGCAGGTCAGTTTTCTCAGCCAATCGACAAGCGCCAGCCGTACGAATTCGATATTCGTGTGCCTCTCTATGTACGAGGTCCCGGAGTTGAAGCAGGATCAACGAGGAACGAAGTTGTCTTGAATATTGATTTGGCTCCCACGTTTATGCAAATGGCAGGTTTGCAGCCTTTGAAATCCATGGACGGAGAAAGCTTTCTTCCGCATATGTCACGAAGTGAGTTTTCGCATCGAATTGAAATTATTGGGAATCAAATGAGTAAAAACTTTACTTGGTCACAGAATTGGGCAACCATGGACTCATTCCGGATGGGAGAAAATTATTCTTGGTGGAATATCATGGCGAAGGGAGCAAAATGGTAAACGAGCAGTGCACAGATGATACCAACATGGAGGTTAGTTTTTTTTTTTTCTCATACACATGTATTGAAAGCATTTTTAACTTTTTTCATTTTGCTTTGTCAGGGATGTCGTCCTGATCTTGCATGCAAGTGCCAAGATTCCACGAACAATACTTACGCTTGCATCCGAAATGTGGAAGAGCACTTGGATTTTCTCTATTGTCAGTTTCAAGATATGGAGGTAAAAATTTGCGTTTTGCCCATATATTGCCCATTTATCACAAATATGTAGCAAATCCTATATCCTGCATGGTTTTCTTCGAACTCACGAGATTTTGCTGTGGAAGTTTTGGGAAGAAATAAGGCAGAAATTTAAATACTGTGCAAGACAGGTGCAAACTATTCGATCCTCTTCAAGTCATACTCAGAGACACAAAAATTGACTTTTTTTATATGTTTGCGAAGCCAGCGTTTTTGCCTGCGTAAAACATGGAATTATTAAAAGGAAGGTAACATCGGTGATATTCTGCGCCTTGAACTGCTCCATTGCAGGCATTCAATTTACTGAATTGACCAGATGCTGAATTTGGAGGTTTGAATACACTTGCCAAATTATTCATTCACTTCTGTTCGAAAAGCATCAAATCCTTTTTGATGTTTTTCTCCTTGCTTGGTCCCCAGAATAATAGCCGAAAAGCTTCCCGAAATTTTAATTAGCTGTTTGCCGAAAAAATTACTGATTTAGGAAGGTTAGTAATTTTTTGAAGGGGAACTCTGCCAGAGACAAAGAAATTTTGACTTGGAAAGATTTTGAACTTAGCAAGGTTTAATTGTGAATTATTTGTAAGGAAGAAGCCGTTTTATTTTATGTACTGTACAAATACTGGAGTGTATTTTTTTTAATAGCATTTCGAGGAATTCTACGACATTCGACACGATCCCTACCAACTGGTGAATCAAGCTGGTAGTTTGCAAGGAGGATGGAGGAAAGATTTCCGTAAAGCCCTTAAATCCCTCTCTCAATGTTTTGGAGTGGAATGTCATCAATTGTCTGGGGCTTCGTTCGACCGTCAAGTTCCAATGGCTGAATTAATGCATAATCCCATGAATTCACGATAAATGCGAATTTTTTTATATATTTTCGCAGCTCTTTTTTAAATTCAAGGAAATTTATTCGGGAATGTTGCGCTTTTTTTCTAGGATTGTTTCGACGTTCCAACGTTTGCATGCGAATGTTCGAAGAAATATACACGCTGAAATAATTCGTTAGTGGCTTTGCCTCATCATTTGCGATATTACATCAACTAGAGTTTTCAGATTCACCTGAACCCTTCGAGAGTTAGAATTAGACCAAAAATATAACAAAAGACTGGACCAACGGTGGTCATGGGGAAAAATGACAGATTGAGGTTCCCAACTTTAAAATTTTATTGTAACCTCGTTCATAACAAAAATGTATCGACAAAACCTCTTTCAATTCAAAATAGTACGATATTTTACGCAGGATCGTAAGGGTATTTCATATTCCCCCCAACGATGAAATGCGCTTCATTAGTACAGTAGGTAATAAAAATTTCTACACAGTTTCCAAAATTTAAGGTGTGTATAATCTTTGGAGGCTTTAGAGAATACAGTTCTGTATTTAGACCCAGTTAAAACTTATAAGCAACCGTACTGTTCTTGAAATACGATAGGATGAGTTTTCCCCTCCAAATTTCGGAGTAAACAAATAAATAGGGGTGCATGCCTAGGACACGTTTCACATGGAGTAACACTCAAAACTGGTAACGTGTTACACGCAGTACTTCTCTGTAAAATTACTCCATGCAACACGGACCCTCGACATGCATGCACCCAATTTTTTCAAGTCTAGAATATGGGGGGACGCAACCCTGAAGCTGAATCTGCAGTAAGAAAATGGTACAATGAAACAAACACCTGTTCTATCCTACGCCATATTGGAGCCTCAGATCAACAGAATAACATGCCTCACTTCTGGATCAACGTGGTATCATTGATCCAACACTTTTTTTTCAATGGAAGAGCGGGATAGTCGCCTCCGAGCAAGATATGGAATCGGTGGTAAATTACCGTGGTCACAAGACAATGATCAGGCGTCATTTGAAGAAACAAGTAGACCATAACACACCCTCGGATTATGCGGACCAGGAATGAAGCTGAAGTTGTCATGCAAGAGCAGCCAAGAACTTCATCCCTGGATCCTGAATATGCTCCATAAACCGAGTCCACGTTGTGTCTCACTCCGATGATCCCGTGAGTGTTCAAATTCATCCCTTCTTAACGGACACTCAGTTGCCATGAAAACTGGACCACGTGGACATGCCCAGTTCCATTCAGGATCCCACCACATTCACTTCGTTATTTCCTTGAAGAAGACGGGATCTTCAATTATAGAACAGTGCCACATCAGGTGACCACGGAGTTGTCTTTTTGCTTTTGTGACCAAAAAACTGTACACACAAAATCGGAATGAAATACGCTGCGCGACTTATTACTGCGTCTGTCATGACTTTCCTGAGTGCGGCGACGGTTTCGGAAGCGGCTGCAGATAAAGGTCTTCTCAGCTCAAACTTCATGCTGAACATGATACGGGTCTGGGGACCCGAACTGCTAAATCAAATGCCAAAACGTCGGAAACGCAGTGTTCAAGGTGATGACGCAGACACGGAAAACAACACAACTGGATTTGGACTTCTGGATAGTCTCATGGAGCTTCAGCCAAATTTACTGTCGAAACACGGAGCATTCGCACCCATCATTTCGATTCTACGGGAAACGCCGGAAATATTTCTGCCCATGCTGGTATGGATTTACTAATTTTCCACGAATCCCCCAAAATAAAACCTGGTCAATGAATGAGCGCTAGAATGATTTTCAAGTATTAATCGCTAAACAAGCCTCAACTCCCCACGCTCAAAAATCAAGAAAAATTTGCTATTCTCAGCCAGGATCAGAAGTATTTGACAAATATACCGAAAATTCATATTTTTCTTGACCCTCTCAATGAAACTACTGTACAATAAAATCGAAATACTGTATTTCGAAAATACAACTCATCAGCATTTTAATTTTGAGTTTGACTGTACTGAGCCTAAATTCAAATAATTTTCTACTGGTTCCGTTTCATGAATGGGCCCACATTTTTCCATTAGAATGAAGTACAGTCCACACAATTAAAAAATGCGCAATGAAAAATGGATTCCATTTTTGAAGACAACACAGAGATAGGATTACAGTCGGTTGACTTACCTACACCTGGATGTTTACTTAGATCAGAATCAAGCAATGTATAAAATAATCATGAATTGACAGAAAAAGGGGGCAGATTCTCGTATAATTCTCAAAACTTTTTTTCCTCGACAAAATTCTGGGAAAAAATTGCACGCATCAACATCGCGAATTCATTCTCTTCTAGAGTTGCAATTGAAGAGGCATTTTCAATTCATGGAGAAACATAAATTAATAAGGCACACATTTCATTTCTGCGCTGAAACCATGACTGCTATTCATGAATTCCGTAATTCGCAAGGTGCATATAAATATACGGTATGTTTCATTACAGGTAAAATACGCTCAAACGTTTGACGCTCACCCCGACTGCGTGAAAAGAACCATCTGCGAAGCCAACCAGGAGATAGTTCACCGCTTCGGATTGGCTGGTCACGTGCTTGGCACCTTGGGAAGGTATGTAAAACTATGGATTCACTGAAATGCTAAAAACTTTCGTAGAAAGCCGTAAAAATCTCCTTGAGTAACGACCCCTCAGAAATCGGGGATAATTCATTCTACTGTATAATCTGCATATTCTGAAATCAAGAAAAGATTTAACGGAAAATTAAATGCACTAGTTGAAAAGTTTTCAAGCTGGGGAAAAAAAGTTTTGTATATTTACCGCTAAAGAATTAACAAGAGGTTTCTCATTAAAACTTGATTCGACTTCTCATTGCAGCGAATTCATCATTTCGTCCCTCACGGGTGCTTCCGGGAAAATCTACGACGACGCGACTGAAGGCGGGAAAGCTGGTAGGGAAGGTTACGACTGCTACCTTGAATTTCCTGAATGTCCCGACAATTCTAAAAAACTCTACGACTGATGTCAGAAGGCTGAAATGCTTGAATGGTTCAAAATATTTATTTTTTTCCAAAATCGATTTCCGTTATTTTTTCCACGTAAAAATCGTGAATTAACCCTGAAATTACAACTTTATAGTATAACGGTTCATGTGATGTGCTCATAATTTCGACACATGGGGAACAATAGTGCAATTTGTGTGGACGAAAAAAAACTGCAGGCAAAATATGAAAACAATTCCGAAAGACAATTCAGAGTACAAAACATTACCATTCAAAAGAGTGGTTCCCAACCTTTTCAACTCCCAAAGCTCCTTCTAGAATCAACATTTATCAGGCGTAATAATCTCTCCATAAGTTACAACCACAGTAATTTTCGTGAGCCCTACGTCGTGTTCCCACCTTCTTCACGCATTTATTAAAATCTCACACAGAACTGTGGATATGTTTTATTTATATTTTTAAAAATGTCCTAATTTTTTGGAGGGACAATGGAGTCCGTGAAGGCATAGGTTGGGAACCACTGTTTCGAACTATCCAATACTGTACTTGATTGCTTCTCAGAGACAAATTTTTTGTAACTCGTTTCAGGTTTCCTTTCCCATTCGATCTGGGCAAAGTTTTCCAACGAAAGATCTTAAAATTTCAATAAATCGAACCTCTCCAGGCAAAGGGACTCATCTTCGAGCAAACCCGTCTCACACAGCGATGCATAAGCGCTGAATCATTTCAACCCGATCCGCTGAAGATTTTCAACAGAAAGCATTTCTCTGAGTTTTGACATCAGCTCGTAACGATATTTGGCGCGCAAGTTACAAATCACAGCCTCCGGTGACAACATCACATCACTCATCACGTAATCATTACCCTCAACGTCACCGTCAAAAACTTGGCTAAAAAATGCCATGCAATCCGCAAGCGTCAACTCGGACACGGCTTCCAGGCCGATTTTGTACAAACACTGGTCCACTTTCCACACTTCGTAGCATTTCTCTTCAGTCTGGGAGCCGAAAAAGCAGGACAAGTGGCGAGTGACCGCTCCGGGATTCACGATATGATTCCACACCCAATGCAGTCTTTCGGACGCACTGATTCGTAACGATAAGAAATACGCCAGGTCGTCCAAAGCAGTTCCCGCATGACTGATTCTACATCGAAAACGAAGAATTTCAACCAGGACCGCGTAAGATATCGTAATTACGCTTCCATCATAATTCGCTTTTAGCATTTAAAATCACGGCGAAACACGTAACATTTAATCATACAATCATCACAATTCTGACTGAAGAAACGGAAAGTTATCAGCTCTTGTCCCTCTAGCTTCTGACGTCCGCAATGCCCCGATTTCTTCGCCATCGCACAGATGTCGCGTAAGTTTTGTTTCAGTTGATTACGCGTAGGTTACTCGCAGGTTTTCTATAAGCCGTGTCTTCAATAAATCGTGCCAAATGTTGGAACAGACGACGCCCTTAGTTTCCTTACAGGTAAAATCATTGGATTTATCGGCTGTAATTATCTGAGACTTTTCGTTAATTAGAGGGAGCCTGATGAATTCCTTGTTCTAAAGATGGTTTGACGTGGGAACAGCTTTTTTGCATTCTCAAGTACTGTACAATAGTCGTAAGTGTTCAATATCCAGAGGGAAGGTATCTGGTCATTTGTCGGGATGATCGAGATTTCGCCGAATATTATTCATGTAATGTTTAATTACGCACCAGGAAGTAAAATTGAATAACGAAATGGAAAGAACTTATGGATACTCCATTACATACCGCCGTTATCATTAGCTCGAGATATATTCAAGATTTTCACAAAATCCTGCATATCGCATATTTCAACAAAGTCAAATCAGTCTCCAAGTGATCAACATTCGTCGGCCTGAAGTTACACTCGGCTTCCTCGCAATTCCACGAAGTCTTCATGGTACAGTACACGTTCTTTTGATGAGCAATCAGGACGCGAGAAACCGCAACAGACAGACAACACGGAGCGATGTCCGTTAGAGATTTCAACTCACCCAGATGAAAACGACGATCTGATGTCCATCAAGTCGACACATTCCCTGGCAGCCTCACATCTAACATACTGGTTCTCGTCGCACAAAAAGCAGAGCAGAGTCCAACACAGGTCCACTAAAAGCGGGCGCCATTCGTAAGCATCGAAAATCAAGCTTCTTACTCCGTATAATCTCATCATTTTCACAGCACTGATTCGTGTGATACAATCACGATCAGTGCTCATCGCAATTACACGACGAATCAAGTCGAGCCTTCGCTGACCCGCTCCGGCCGCTATCGACGCTTGCAACATGCCCACGGCTCCATGATAGGCAGATGGCCAATCCGAATTAGCATGAACTTCAGTTTCTTCTAGCACAGAAGACCATTTTACATAGTGACATCGTTGTTTCGGTAAGACGGTCAACTCGTATTTCGGTTCCAGCATAGCCTGCAATACATCGCTTCGTTCGCAGAAAGAATTGGCCATCGCCTCTGCGATCGTCTCGCGGATATCCGCATTCGGCAAGGAGCCAGCCACGATGCGAAAAATTTTCATCATCACCTTCTCTCGGCAGTGACTATTTAATCCATCTCTGGCAAGACCAAAACCTCCGAACACCTGTAGACATAAACAAGGAAAGCATCACACTGAGATTTTGCCAATGATTCTAAAAAAATATCCCGACTACTTGAATTACAGTATATTAATTTAAGAGCTGCATTAATAACGAGCGATGACACTAAGATAAAGAGTGAGAAATGGGAATCTGAATGCAATCGACGGAACTTCAACTCACTGATCGATAATCATCATCAGGATCGGAAGTGGACAGCGCAAGCTCTTCTGTCGACAAACCACTCAACAACTGTACCAGGCTCATTTTTACTTCTCCTTTTCTTGCTCCATATAATTCCTTCCTTTTCACGATTTCTTTGATGCGCTTCATTTCCGGGACACCCACAAAATCATCCACATTCTTGTTCGAGAGAAAATGGTCGTTCGAACAAAACAACTCGAGCGCATCCATCGCCTTAGACGTGCTAGCTTCAACTGGCAAAATCTCAACCAGGAACATCAACCACAACAACAAGCCATGGTATTCATTCCGCGAGGCACAAGTTCGCCACTGTCTACTCATTTTCGGTAGGGCTTGGAGCAATTCGTGGATTGAGCTAGTTCTAACTAAGCACAAGGCAGCAAGTCGTCGCACAGCTTCCACCGGGCTCGACAACAGCTTTTCCAAGGCATTAATAGCATCCACGAAACCGTTTCCGCGCTTTGCACTGGGATGCAACGAGCTTACGTCGTTCAGGTTTTTCCAGAAGCACAGTATTGGTAAGATCATAACGTGACGCTGATGAATATGTTCGTCGGCCTGACTAGCTTCTACCAAACGCCTCACGATTGCATCACAAATAGAGGGATATTTCTGGCTGAAGTCTAAAAATCCCATTCCGCCCCATGCGACGCTTGAATCCTGCGAATCCAATGACTCAGCGGGCTTGGCGATAACGAAGATTTTCTTCGTTAAAGACGCCAGAAGACATAATGCAGCGTTCCTTTAATAAAAGTGGGGACAGAAGTTGTATCAGAGAGGAAACTTCGTGTAAAAAATAGGGCGAGAAAAGAGCTTGCCAAAGCAACCCTCCCGGCTACTGTATTTCATTCTATCGAAAAGAAGAAATATATATTTCATTGTTCCTTCATTATTTTGGGTTTAATATCAGAAAAAATCAAAGCTGTTGGAGGTAGAAGATAGTAGAACGATGAACCGGACTGTTTCTGTAAACCAGTCGTACAGATGAACTTTCCAATTCTGCGCTTTTTTCGCGAGCTGTCACAATTGTGACACAAGCTTGATTAGGATTAGGACAATGCCGGTAGATTATCTCAAGAATTTCAACAGGACATTACATTACAAGGTAAACACTAAAAATGTTATTTGACCATACCAAGATTGGAAAAAAGAAAACAAGCATCATGTCCTCCACAGCCAACGGCAGAAACACGGATCGCCGATTTTTCCCCGTCAAAATTGCTCAAATTTTCCTGAAGTTCTGCATCGATAAAAATTGAAGGAACAAGGAAAGAATGCAAGTTCGTAAGGACTATAAACGTTAGATTTGTCTAATCTTCTCCCTTCCAACTCCAAAAAAAAGAGAAGACTCACCTGATTTTCCAATCTGATGAATACAGGCCATCATTGCACTTCGCGAAAATAACCGAAATCGACATTCGCACGGGAATGCTCAATCTTGAGTCCTCAACCAAAGCTTGCAGAACAAACAACACAATGCTTTCCGGCGAGTCGCTGTTTTCACAACCCTCTGAGTCAGGTTCAACACTACAGGCAAACTTGATTATTTGAAAGCACAAGGAACCCTGCACACGAAAAAATTAAGACGTTTTCAATGGGCGACGCTTTCAACGAAGAAGCATCAAAGATATTACACTCACTTTGAAACTCAGAGGTTCGCTTTTCGCGATGCTTCGAAAAAACGGGGGAAATCCGGCGCCTCTGCGAGACGATGAAATATTGCTGCTGAAAAGTGGGATCATTCTCAAAGATTCATCCACAAAACCTTGCAGGAAGGCTTGCTTTTCTTCGTCGATGTGTTTGAACAACGAAGTAATCATCATAGAAATCGATGACGACGCTGCGTCTATAATTCCTGTCATGTAAAAATTTCATTTAACCAGAAAATGATCACACGTTTAAATCAGCATTCCCGACTGACAGACTTGACAAAGTTGAACTTACCTTTGTGGCGAATGCTCAACATCACAAGGCGAATCAAGCTGAAAACTTCCGGATAATAATCTTCTGGTAGAAGATCTCTTGAAAACATGAGGGACACATATTCGCCCAAGAAAAGAAGAGCCAGCTGTGAAGATATGAATGGATTATATACATCTTTCCGAAATTCCAGTATTTTGTAATTGTCACCTCGAACGTATTCCAGAGATGAAAAATGAAAAACTTCGGAGTCTCCATATACACTGAAGAACTAAGATCTTCCTCATCAAGCATTTCTGTGCAGCAATTAGCGCTCAGGCCAACAACGGAAGCACGTAGCTCAGGAAACGATGGACAATTTATTCCTGCGGGAAAAAACATTGTATCGTACTGTCTTTTTTTAAGCTGTTACCTCCGTTAGAAAACGGCGATTTCACGCGGGAGTCTCACAAATCAGACAAAACTTGACCAATTATGCTTGAATAAACAAGCCTTCGATTTAACTGTACGAAACGAAATACTAGTTAAAATCCCTCTATATAAAACTCTCAATATCGGACTCGTGCAACAGTTCGTCGAACAGAAGAGAAGAAAAATTAATAAACTCAAGAGTATTCGTCATGCCTTTACTTGGGAGAAACGCAGATAAAATTTCCAGAAAAATCAGAAAACTGCATGTAAGTGTTAGAAAAAAAGGTTGGTCATCACCGTCATTGTCTCCAGCATCTGGATCTATCAGTTTGAGAAAGAATCTATTCACAGAAAGCAGCTCCGACATCAAGACCTTTGCTGAATCCCCGTTCAGGTGATCTATCAACCATGGTAAGGCAGCTCGAAGATACACGAGGCTTCCTGAATTAAAGATAACTCCAGTTTCGCTTTTTCCCGCTTCCGCAAAATCATCTCGAAGTTGGTTGATGGCGTCGATCAGATAGTTCTTCAAATCTGGAGCAGTAGCTTCATTTTTTTCATCACTCATCTGGAACGAATAATCCAATCGCCAATTAGCAATACAGATGCAAAAAAAATCCTCGAATTAGAATGTTCGCGTTTACACCTGCATCACAAAAGGGAAAATTCAAAAAGGTTCGGAGAAGACCAGGCAATCTAATAATGTACAACAAAAAATACCCCCGTAAATTTTGCGACTCGGCTTTCAAAGTTCGAACAATCACGATACTGTGAATTTATTCTGTCGTGCATTCTCTTCTGAGACTAAATTTTCGGCAGTGCATTCAATGTTTATTTATTTTTTAATTGCTTCGCATTCCCTTAAAAAAGTGAAGAAAATTGGCTCACTTTCCGCAAAACGCAGGCAATAAGCCGAGAACATTCCGGCTTCACGGTATGCCTCGAGTTTTCCAACCGTCTTCGACACGTATCCAAAATTTCCTTCAAATCTTCTTTTTCAAAAGTAAAATAATCCTGGATAAGATTTGCTCCGATGGAACTGACGTCTCGACAAGGGTCAGCAACACTTCTCAATAAGGCAGCCCGTAATTCGACGTCATCTGCAAAATGCCACGAATATCCCAGAGACTCCACGCCCGCTAACACTTTTTCTCTCCCTGCAGCACCACTATTGATTCCTTTGATGAGGAACTGCTTTTCTGGCAGTAAAGTTTTGAGTAAAATATCCACAAGGCTGATGGACGTGATTCTCCGCGAATACCACGCAGCGGCGTGACACTCGCTTTTGAACAAGGCAATCACGGTGTTGAGTAACTCCACTGCTTCGATAAACGCTGGCTGATCCGTCAAAACATCCGATCCACAGGCTAGCTTTTCCATAGCGCAACGAAGTCTTGCAAATAATTTCCCACACGTTTTGATAAAACCACTTCGGAAGCTCGAATCATCAACATAAATATTATCCTCGATGAACTTCTTCATTAGTCTCAAATTCCTTGCAGAGGGCAGAGAACTCTTAGCGGATCGAAACGGCTCGCACAGAACCTCAAATGCTTCCAGGCGCAACTCTAAAATTTCGCTTTCTAGATGGCTCACTGCATAAGGCACGAGAAAACGTTCGAACTGATATCCCATTCCGATCATTCGCCGTCGGATCAATAATGACATTCGGATTCCAGTCGTCGTGCGTCGATTCGAAAATTGATTCAGAAAATGCTCCAAGCCGTCGTTCAATGCAAAGCGCTGCAGAGTTGGTGCAAGCCAGGACGTAATTAAAGCTTCCACTGGGCGCTCCCTATAGCAATACATAATCAAAAATACTTTCAAATTTCGAACAGCACACAATGGTAGAAAATTCATCTTTGAATCTTAAGAAAAAGCTGAATCAGTTACACAATCTAAACTGTCACGAAAGAGTAAACCAGAAAGATATATATAAGATATACGACATAGTATTTTTGCTGATGTTACAAGGAAAGGAGATGGCAAATTTTTTTTCGTTCCGGAAAAAAGCGAGAAAATGTGTTGATCAAATGAAAATTCCACTGGTACAGAGAGATAACTTGAATCACTCCAGTTGTCAAAAAACCAGAAAGTTCGAAATCCTGTACGAAATTTCCTACCGACTCAGTGCTTCAGTGAAATCCTCCTCGAAGAGAAAAATCCATTGCTCCAGACTGAACCGTTGAAGAATTGTAAGATACACTTCGTAAGCGGCAGATGCAAGGACGCCCATTTCGGAACATTGAATAAGCACTTTGCCGACCTGTGGTAACCTTTCCAAGGTCTACAAAAGGAGATAACCAACATTCACTCATGGTATGTCGGAAGTACGGTACGACGTGGAGCGGGGCTGGTCAAGCATTTTTATTCGGTCTTATAGGAGGGACTTTTTTTTCATGTCAAGGAATCAAAAATTGTCCAACTATTTCGAGAAACTAAGTTACTGAGGGTGAAATCTGCTCAGTGGTGCCTCGCCCACAACCACAATTCGTTCCCACGCGGTGGTACTTAGGTGAAACGGTGGTAAGGCGAGACAATTTCTCACTCTCAACCATAGTGCAACTCCTGAATCTTCACCTGCATAATGACAGATAAAATTAGATAGATGGGTATTTTATTTTGGCCATCAAATGTGGGGTTTCCTATTTTTTATTGATGAAAAGCATCCGAACCTCATTGCAATGAGGTTACAGCAGGTTTCCTAAAAGTACAGAAACACAAATGCATGAGCATGTGAAATCTGCTCATAATTTCTAGTTATTTATGACAACCCCAAAATAATCACATGTAAAAATTGAAAGGATTCAAGATTTTGAGGGACCTCTGATTTTAGAAATTGGCTATTGCTTTGAATTGCTTGTTCTAGTTCACAATTGCCTCCCAAATATCTTAAGAAATGGGGCAATCTACAAAGGAACAGGTGTAAGATATAAAGTTCTGGTTCTCAATGGTTTTTCTTCCTCTGTTCTGTTTTAATTAGATGAAATAACTCTTTATTTGTCAGTTCAAATAGACCCTCTTAGATTAAGTCATCCTCATGATAATCATTGAAACCAACACGGAAAAACAATCCAAGACAAAAACTGCAGAATGAGTCAATGCAGGGGGAGAAAAGAGCACATGTCTGGGCCACATTCCTGCATGTTGTGGTCAATTTATCCTACCGTTTTCAGGGATAGCAACGATTTTTCAAATTCTGCAATCCTCTTTAGGGGTTCTCTGAAAATAATTTTTTTATTCTGCATGGACATTATTTTTCACAGATTGAAAGCTACTTTTGGCATTTTTCATAGATGAAAGTTTGAGGGAAAATAAATTTATAATTCAGCACCCTGACAGAATCCCCCACATGATTACTTTAAAATATGCAGTATATTGATTCAATTTATTTGTACATGCATTCAATGCATACATGAACATTTTTGGAAGATCAGAAGAAAAAGGAAGTTGAACTGAAAATGAAGATACAGTAAAGTAAATGAAAAAATTGATGATAAAAACCACATTTTGGTTTTACAGTAATTTCATAGCTTTGAAAAATTATTGCAGACGTTGAGACAATTATTTCAGTACTATCTTCAATTTGCGTCAGTTTTATAGCCTAAAAATTTACAGCAATTTGCAAATGTGGCACAAAAAACGTTTGCTAGGCAGGTCAGCGGTCGCTAGGCGAGTCATTTTTTTTAGGTTTTCAGTGGCCCTTAGGCGGATCGATTGTTAGGCAAGGCACCACTGTATATCACCGGTAGTTATAAATATATCTCAAGTTCACGGAGAAGTTCGAGGGTGCTATTGTTTCTAGGCTCCCTAAGCAATCACGAATGTTCTCACTTCAACGTGCGAGGATTGATCGATAAATGGATGCTTTCATTTTAGTTTTTCATCAGGACAATTTCTTGAATTAATCTCGCTTGAAGCAAAAAAGTTTCAAGCCTATTTCACAAATTAATTGTGATTCACGTCCGCGCGTTTCAACAATGATCCAAGATTCTAAATAAGACCAATCCTATTTTCTTACTGTTAATCAATCGACGCTCGAATATAAATAAAATGCTATTGAAATGTATACGATGGCTATAAATTTGAATAAGTACGTACCTCAGAAACGGGCAGATGTAATAACATTTGAGCTAGCAGTAGCAAACCGTCACGATTCCGCCACGATGGCCAATTGTACGATTCAAACAAATGTTGCTTGACATCCCGAATGTGAACCCAATCGCCGTTGTACTTAAACAAAAGCTCAAGAATGCTTTTCGCTGCTTCAGGAACTCCAGGAAATGGACTGTCCAGGCAGTTCACGGTAGCTTCATACACGAATTCCATGTGATCGCTCAAAGACTTCATACGCAACGAAGAATCAGCGATCAGCCGCTGAAGAATCGGAGCGGCAATTTCAACCCAACGGAGGAGCACCCGAAATGTTGTTTGTGTCGGGTATGTAGCCACCAAACTTTTAACTGAGTTGAAAAGTCTTTCAATAACCAAAGCATCTTCAACCGTATCTGACGCAAGCTTTACAATCCATTTCCCAATCACACCTTGATGAATCACAAATCGGTACTTCCTCGGAGGATTTTTGGCTTCCTTCACCGATCGCACGCTGAAAATACGCGAACAGGGCAATATCATGAATGCAGTAATTAAATATGGCGTACACATGCTCCACTCCTACAATCCAATCATAGAACTCGAATACTATCAAAGGATTGGGTCAAATACTGTTTCAACAAGAGTTTCTGAAATTGGGTAGGACGCTTTTCATTCATCTACTTACATCAACGTCTTTCAGCGGAATTTCTTCAATTCATGCATATTTCATCGAAATCCCATAAATTACCACGTCGAAACGACATTAAAAATAGGGTTCTTCTCAAAAGTTTCCAATGTACACAAGCTTCCGAGTCAGGATCAAAAAGCCGTCTTAAAAATCAGGATCATCTTCCATTGCAGCGCTCGCTGGGATAATTTTTCGTTCACGGGCTGACGTTTTTGAATGACTCATGAACACAAAAATCTTCAGTTATGAATTTGTCACTCCGCGGATATTCTACGATCTCAGAATCATCTCCATGAAGTATTTTTAAATTTATTTTATCATGGAAGCACAGGCTTGCTCCTTGGTAAACTTTTTTCCTGGACATAAGAGAGATTGCATATTGAACACCATTCTTATCAATTTCAACTCGAGAATTACTGTACTAATTACATATCACACCAAGAAAAGGTCCCATCTGAACAACGCGTATTATACATGGCACTCATTGCGAGCATGATTATTCGAACTGCGGATGGTCATGAAATGTCATTAACCAACTTTCGTGCAGCACATACGCGTAGAAAACGCTATACAGATTCACATAACACGTACTTGACACAGCGAGGATCATCTTGAAGCTCAAATCGAATTCCTACCACGGTAAAGGTCGGTTCCACGAGATCACACACAACGGCAGCGACGGACGATTTGGACGCCATGCGGACTAAAAGGCTTACCAGCACAGTCACAGCGAAAGACCTCAGTTCAAGCGCAAACTTCGAATTGCGTATACACGCGAACAGAGAATTCGCACTGGCTTCGACTATGCTCCAGTATTCCTCATCTTTACAGGTTTTCGTTTCTGTAGCATTGGCCAACCGGAGAAGCTCCTACGACGGATATTTATTTTAATGGAAAAACTTGAATACCACATACTGAAAATAGTCACGTACCTGGAGGCTTTTTCTTATTTCCACAGTACAACCGTCATCAATCGCGGAGAGCACTTTCTTAAAAATCGCGACTGATGCAACATCGCTCGTCTTCGGTGAAATTAATTCCGACATACCTGCAAATAATGATCAGCGCTTTCCGAGAGACACCATTTCTCCACGAAACAATGCACTAATCCGCTCAAGACTAATCGACTAACATATTTGAAATCAGAAACTGCAATTGCATTGAAAACGGTACGTTGTTTCATGTCATCCATCGTCCAGAAGAAATTCAGATATTTCATCTTTCATTTTCTGTCTTATCGCGCTGCTTCGGTTCACTTCAGCCATCCGTTCCAGAGACTTGGGCAACTCAGTGGTTCCACGAAAAGGAGAAAATATATGCGAACATGAATAGCACAATGTTGAGAAAAACACAGATTTCGCATCTTTCTCCAGCTTGCAGCAACTGGAACCGGAGGTACATCCAGAATCACATGTTTCCAATTGCGGCAGGATTTCCTTTTCTTTCCACGGACCACAGTTAGAAACCAGGTTGGAAAAGGCAAGTGCGTTGACTGCTGAGCTTCTCTTCCACTGATCTCCCACGACTATGTCCAAAACTGCCCCGCAATAACAACAATGACGATCACGATCGCCCGCAGCAGGCATAAGTTTTCCACCAGTTTTCATCAGCGTATTGCTAGTGGTTGGAAAGTCTTTAGCCAAATCCATCACAAATTTTTCCGTCAGTTTTTGGATGCATGATTCAGGTCCGGCTCGTGTCCAGGGATCTTTTAATGTGACGAAAGAAGTGCCAGTGAAGCTGCAGTACAGGGCAGCTTCCTTCAACGAAACATCCCGCAAGGGGCGCAGGAAAACCACTCCAGGTATCCGTTCGTCAGCGAATGCTGTTCTATTTTGAATCGAACTTCCGGCACCAATAGAAACATCGCTCAGGACTCGGGCTGCTAGTCTATCCAGGGTTTCGCCGAGAAAAACGTATTTAATCCCTTCCCACTTCGCCAAGTTAGCAATAACCGTTATTCTCGTCTTCTCCAGAAAATCCTTTCGGTTAGTCCCATCTTTTATATCACTGAGGATCTGAAGAAACTCTGACTCCCCCTTGAAGAAATCAGATACTTTCGCGATTTTGACATCGAAGTCGGATGCTTTAGCAAAAGAAAGTACTTGCGCGAATTCCTCAGAGGTCTGGTATCCCAATTCTACCTCGTCAACGATGCCTAGACAAAAATGTAGCTTCAACTGCTTATGAGCCGCTTGAGCAAGTCCTTCCTTGACAAGCGCCAAAAGCGCAGACGAATTTACACCTCCCGAGAAGCTCAACAAAATCTTCTCCCCGTTTCGAAGTAGCTTCTCTTTTCCTATGGATGCTCTGAATTTGTGCTTTACATTTGCAAGGAAACAGTCACGGCAATACGCGTCCATTCGTCGCAGAACAACGACCGCTGGATTTTTCGATTCCGTACATTTCTTGCAGAAGATGCGAACGCCATCGGTTTTAGGTACGAGCAAAGACGAATCGTTCTCTTCGCAGTAATCTGAGATTTCTGAGGAGTTACTGCACATGCCACTTGGGATTCAAAAAACTTCTGCCTGTAAGAAGTCCGGAAATGAGTGTGAACTTAATGTAACAGCGACATTCAGCACTACATCAACACAAGCTTTGATCACGTTTTTGAATGAACGGTGCAGAAGAGGCGTTCATAAAATACCATATACAGTTCTGTACGAATTGTATCTATTAACGTCCTATCGCGTTTCCCCGAAATGAAATATTCCTGAATACATCGGCCATAACCCTTTTCTATTAAGAGGGCTTAGGCGACAACTGAAGCAAGAAATAATTTCACACAAAAATTGAAAACTTATATGGTATGCCACCAGAAAAAAGAGCACAATTGATTTTCTAGAGAGTTTGAGAAATGGACAATACAAGGTTGTAATCTGAGTTCAGCTTCTCTTCAATTATCAATTTTTTAAATTGAGAAAGCTTGATACATAAAAGAAGTTCAGCCCCCCTCTGATGTAGCAAATCTCTTTTAAAATATCTGTTAAAAGATCCAGAAGATAAACATAAATTAGAAACAAAAAGCAATTTTTCTGGCGGCTAATCAAGGATACCTATTGGATTTCTGGGGAAACATTGTTCTTCGATATTACAGTAAAAACTGCTCTTCGCGGATAATAACAAGATGCTGCGAACATCCGCATTACAGAGCACTGGATAAGCTGATCGAAAACCAATTCTCATTGTGAACGAGAAAATCCCAGAAATCAGGTGAATGATGCACAGTATATAATTCAGACAAGATCAAAGCCTGATTTGATGTCCTCACTAGCTGGCAAGAGCGAGGAATATGAAATAACAAAAAACTCACCCTTCTCAAACGTCGTTGTTATTTCAACAACTTAAAACAGCGAAAACTTGGAAAAGTTTCGCATTATATTTCGACATCCAACACAAGTTATTTCTTTTCGGTTCGCAACTACAAGAATGAGATTATGTCTGGAAATACAGGAACATGTGAACAAATCTTTCGGGCGCTATGGATCCGTGCGCAACTGATTCCAGGTGATTTACGATCAACTAGCGGGTAAATCATGAGGCAAATTTCTGTACGCTCCTTGTGTTGGATTGAAGCCCCCCGAAAAAAAGATAAACCTCTTAATCACCACGTACGACACTCAACTTGGTCATACCTGATCGTAATTTTTTGCTTGTTTCAACTTCTTTCACCAATGAACTCTTCAAGCGGAGAACTGAGCCGTTGTGGTCTTCAAAGAATCTTCTGCAATTTTCTCGTTTCTTTTATCTTCAGCTTGTTGCTTCAAACTTCGAGCAAAAGAGAACTTCAATCCCATATTAGACGAAGATTTTTAAAGCGAGTCTTCTTCATTTCTTCAAAACACGCGTATTACTTCATCCTCACACCACCGCTTTTCTGTCTTTAACCCGCTGGCCTTCTTCGTCCTTTTTTCCGAAACAAAGAAGTCAAAAACTGTGTCAGTTCCATACACAAGTCAAATTTCAACGAGCCAGAAGCAAGACTTTCATCAGTAGAACATTAAGTACCTGGTAATAATGATCACAGAAACCAAGCCTCGCAGTGCATAAAAAAGGTAAAGCAAGAGTACATATGCCTAGTTCGCACAGTCGTTTGCCGAGATTCAGAGGGTAGGAAAAACTAACAAAAAGCACACCAACGATATCTGTCACACAAAAGCAGAAAATTTTCATTCGAACCCAACCGATAAGACTGATGAGTTCACGAAACAATGCGGAGAACTCGGATCTGAAACTCGAATTTGCGACCATGCTTCCCTCCGTGGGATGAAACTGATTAGGATAACAAGTGACACAAGATCAAACGTTCTACAAAAGTAAACACAAGTTCATAACTGTTCGCGTTGCGGACGATCAGCTCAAGATTATCGCTCAGTAGTACCCTCGGCGGTACTTACGAGACGGAGGAGTGTATGACCGAGAGCGAGAACGTTCATGCCGATCGTGGCGTTCGTAGTGTCCCCCTCCGTCTCTACGCTTTCCGTATGGAGATCTCGACCTCCTCTCGACACGATCTCTATCGTAGCCGTAACGGTTTCGCGTTGTTCGCTTAGCGCTGAAACGGAACAAATAAACAAATGCTGTAAATAACATAAACTAGAATTTCTAGTCAGTATAGACTTACTTCGGGCGACCCATGTAAATTCCAGGAGTAGGAGTATGAGCCCTCTGCGTGATGGAAAAATCGACACGGATTTTTCGTCCGTCCATCTCCATGCCGGAACACTCTTCCTTCGCTGCTTTCGCATCTTCGTAGGATTCGAAGTAGACAAACGCAAATCCACGAGATCGGCCAGTCTAATAGAAAGCATGGCAATCTGTCAGCCAAAATCACTGGAATAGGAAAAATCGCAGCCTAACCTGTGCATCAAGTACAACCGTGACCCTTTCAATCCCTCCAAATTTATGGAAGACATTGTGAAGATCTCGCTCCGTGGTGTACAAGCTTAACCCAAAAACGCCAAGAACACGGCTGGGGTCAGGAAGATCCTGCGATCGAATTGCGTGAACGAACAAATCATTAGGAATCACAGTACTTCACCAGCAAAACTCACAAGAATACTTAAAGATTCCAGAAAAACTCACTCTATCACCCATGTGTCGCTTTCGTGAGGACATCGGTGAGCGTGAACGGTTCCGACGCTCAACTACTCGTTCTCTACCTCGGGATGGAGACTTCGATCTCGAGCGCGTTCGGCGCCTTCTACGCTCTCGCGATCTGGATCTCGTTGGTGACCTGTCAGCAGTAAACAGAAGTTACCTCAAATTCTCCAGTAATGCAAACAATTTCTCGTCTCTTCCTGAATTAATTTCTAATCGAGAAACAATCTTCCAATACAGTTACCCTTCAATTCCACACTTCAACATTACACACCTCGTTCGCCTACGAACTGGTGAACGGCTGATGCGCCTGCGTCTTTCATCTCCATTCGTGTCTCTTTCTCGATCACGACGTTCCATGGAGCCTCCACGTGGTCTCGGGGAAACCTGAATCAAATTAATATATTTCTCATCACAACGTTCACGGGACTTCCGGGAAAACGATTCTCACCTCACGATCACTCATGATGTCAAAATGCTATCCGCAGTATCTCACTACAACTTGAGTCTCTCCCAACTCCCTAACAGTGTTCTCAATCGGCGATAACCTCACCCACGAATTCTAAATTCACCGGAGAGGAAAATTGTAACACTAGAGAAAAGCCGGTAGATTTCCAGTGGAATTACACAATCACTTTCTTGTAGACTCAACAACGAAAGATCACCGCAATTGAGCGAGTCACATCAGGCCAGCACATAGAACTTTCAAGAAAGTCCAGTACCCTAACCACAATCCTCTAAATTCCGTAGCCACTTCTTGTCCACCACGCAACCCTCACCAAAATGGACGCGTGGACATCCGCCGGCAAGTTGGAGGCGCGCGAAGCAATCGCGAACCTCTCTTGCGTTCTGGGGCGACATCTGATTCAATATTCAATTTAAGTCCAAAATTTTGACATGACAGATGACACCGATATTTTGGATCACTGTACTGCATTCAAAATATTTTTAATAAAAATCAACGTTATAGGTAATTCATTGATAAATTATTGAAGCGCAACACTGAAATATTTAAGACACCGTAACTTATTTCCTGACGGACCTGACCTAACATACAGGGTGGGCCTGAAAAATGGAAGCAATTTGTGACTTACAATAGCTCAGTCGAAAATCAAGCTGTGGCAATTAAAAAACGCCAAATGAAAGCTTGTTAATTTCCCTTTTGAATAGTACTTAGTTTTATGATCCCAAGAGCCACCATGCAGTCACAACAAGAACCATCTGAATGAAACTTTTAAAAAAGTTGTCAGGCAACTTCCTTCCACTAAGCTGCTATTCTATTCATTTCCCTTTTGAATAGTACATAGTTTTATGGTCCCAAGTGCCACAGTGCAGTCACAAGAACCATTTGAATTGAACTTTAAAAAAAAGTTGTCAGGGAACTTTCTTCCACTAAGCTGCTATTCTCCACAGCAGAGCTGTTTTCAGAGATAAATGAGGTGCAGGACCAGTAATTTCAACAGCTTGCTTCATGCTGCTTTCAAGAGGGTGCACACATTCCCAAAATGTAGGTGGGGTGAGAAGTGTAACCAAAAAATAGAGCAGTGGGATCTTGCTCCTCTCCCAAATCCTGATGCAAGCTTGCTGCTGGGTGCCAGCCTTGTGGCTCTTGTGACCACCTGCAAGCAAATTTGTTCTGGATGGCTGGATTGCTAAAAAATTAGTTTCACTCTTTATTCACAATGGCTAGCCATATTTTTGTCATCATTGGTCAATTGTTAATAATATCCCTTTTCCTGATCATCACACAGAGATTTCATCAAAACACGAAGTCATCAAGATAAGAATGAAAAATTCACTGCTAAAGATGAAAATACACCATGTTGAGGAAACATTCACCTGACCATTTAAATGATTAGTGAATGAAACTGATTTTGAGCATACCAAAGAAATACAGTCATACCAAAGAAATTCCCATGCAGGGTCCACAGGAGCCATGAAGCTGGCAACCAACAAGCTTGCATAACTGCTTTTTTTTGGTGGCATCTATCATCCCCACCTCCCGAAGTTTGGGAATGTGTGCATCCTCTTGAAGGCAGCATTAAGTGTGCTATTTAAATTACTGGTCCTGCACCTCATTTATCTATAAGAACAGCTCTGCTATGAAGAATAGCAGCTTAGTGGAAGAAGTTGCCTGACAACATTTTTTTTGAAGTTTTCATTCAAATGGTTCTTGTTGTGACTGCATGGTGGCTCTTGGGATCATAAAACTAAGTACTATTCAAAAGGGAAATTAACAAGCTTTCATTTGGCATTTTTTAATTCCCACAGCTTGATTTTCAACTGAGCTATTGTAAGTTAAAAATTGGTTCACTTTTTCTGGCCCACCCTGTATGCATTCAACTGTATTAAACATAGGCTCAGACAGTTTCTGAACTCTTCTATGAATTTAGTACGGTATAATACTACAGTCTTTTACTAACTCTATTTATTTCTGGTCTTAAGCCTTTCCAAATACAGTATTGTCCAAATTCAGTCCAAAACTCCTTCAATAAAAGACGTTGTCTGCTGCAGTCCAACTTTGGCAAAATAGTAGGATAACTTTTGAGAAAAAATTCAGAAAAAGGTCAATTTATTACTCATGAGAGCATTTAACAGTATATAAAGCATGACATTTCTGCACATACTGTGTGCAGCAAAAGAACAGAGCCTTATCCTGAATGCTGAGATTATTCTATGCGATAAATGAAGTCTTTTCACCCTGTATAAGGATTTTCTGATTGACAATAAGAGAGTTGGCATTAAAGTGGGGTTCCCCTCAGTAAGAGCATAATGGAGGGAGAACTTTGTGGCACTATCTGCAAGGGTGGTACTAAATTGGCCAATTACATCAGTGGTTGACTGTGATTTTGGGTTTGCATCAAGAACATACTAAGAACATAATGCAGTGGGGTTTCTTGCTGACATCAAGATAGGCGTGTAAATAGAACAGGGTTTTAAAAGTCTCTTTTTGTTGCTGTTTTCTGTGAGGTCATATTAGCCCAGTCAGAAGCAGCATCACTTATGGAGGACTTCCATGCCTATTTTAGATTGAAGTATCAATTTGAATTTAAAAATTTATGGTTCCCAACTTTGGTTTTCGTTTCAAAAAGCCACATGGAAAAAAGTAGAAGGCACACGCGGTTTGTCTACAACTCTACATCAATAATGTACATGAAAATGATTAGCCAATTTTGATTATACATCACATTTAAACCTTCCCACATTGAACCTCCTTGAGTTGAAAAAAAATGATCTCTTATGGAAATTTATTGTTCAATTTTTCTGGCACATTCACTCAGAGCGCATATGCAAGTCCACTTCAATTTGAATGTCGATCCGCCCAAACTTGTAACTTTTTGAATTCAACCTCCCTGCATTGAATTTGAAGGTCTTTTATTATTCATTTGGGGATAAATTTGACATGCTCCAGAAAAATGCGTGTTATCTTCCTTATGCTCACCCTCATGCATTCCTTATACATCTTATTGCATGTAGGGCATATATGAATGATGACCATATCTAATAATTTGACCCTAAAATAAATTCCATTAATTAACCTACCCAAATGAAGCTAAATTTCCTGAACTTAAAAAATCTCTTTCAGTCGTATTTTGTGTATCAGCAGGTTACCGTTAGTCCAGCAGTTCATGGTAAGAAGAAACACATAGTGGACAGTCAGAATTTTACGATAAGCAAAGAGCGTCATCTACTCCAAAATACTTTCATAAATTCATCGCTTTTCCTCTCAACACCGTGACAGGTAGCAGCACCAATTCCCTGCAGGCCTTGGTGAGGGTTTGAGGGGGGGCGTTGACGCCTCTGTGGCAGAATAGGGCGGGTGCAAGAGGAAAAACACCGCTAGACCACATATCACCCGGCCGCCCAATCCCGAGCCGCCCGTTTCTCACCCGAGCACATTTAGACACTGACCGCCAAATCCGGGACTTGCGGGGTGGACCTCGCGTCGATCGCAAGAAGGAGGCGCCACGAATGCCGGAGGGGAGCATTAGAGGAAAGGGCAAGTGCAGCATATGAACAGCAGATCAACGTCATTTGAACCCACCCCTTTCTCTCGTTCTCTCGCTCGACCATTGCGGGCAAATGCATCCTCGTCCATTCTGTTCTCTGAGGAGGCAAAAAGTCGTCGCTTTCCGCGCCGCTGACCGCACAGTTCTCGGGCTGCCTCGGACCAAGCCACATGCGTTCATCCCGCTGGCATGCGAGTGCTAAAATACCGTGCATCATCCGCAAAGAAAAGTACTACTGTTTCTTGAAATTGAAATTTCTTCAAGCGAATGATTAAATATCGAATGCCGCGCGCTAACCGAAATTATATTTTATTCCAATTTTCCGCAGGTTCGTGAGAATCCATATTTTGGAAATTTTGAGCATTTGGTATCGAGTGAGAAGACTGAAGTGACAGTGCCTTTATTTATATTCTGCTGGTGTGACGCTGTTCAAGTGCCTGTCTGCTGAACAATATTGTTCGTGTTTGGCATTTTTGTTCTACGAGGCCAGCGAAAACAAACGAGCTTCTGATACAGAGCTTTGAATTTTTGCATGGCTGCTGCTGCGACCCTTGGAAGCATGGGGGCGTTTTTCGGCGGTTATCCTTTCCAAGGTAAATTTATCTTTTTTTAAAACATGCCAGCATATATGAATGAATCTTCGGAGTACATATAAACGGAGGTAAAAGTACTGTATAGGCATAGGAAATAATCTTGTTTGTTGCCCAAAATTGAAACTCTTCTCGTAAGATTGAAAAAGTACGTTTACGAAAATTTTAATTGGCGATAAAATAGTGTGCGTGCTGTTATTGAATTTGATTCGAGTTACCGAATCTCCCGGTAATTTTTTAAAAGTAATCGTCATTACCTTAAGAAATATCTAGAATAAATTCCGAATATATATCGAATGATAAACCAGTGGAAGGGAATTTAAAAATGAAGTATCGTATTTTGTAATGCATGAAAGCAAAAATTTGTTCCGCGGGAAATCCCAAAATCATTAAAATTATTCTTTGTTCTTTCAATTAGAGGAGGAAGAGCAGATGTTGAATTTTAAACTTGTACCGTATACAGTATTATCACAACATGCAGCAAAATCTCTGATTCTAGACTTTCCGATGTGGTTTACAGCTTAAATCATCTCAAAATAGTGACCAAAATATCCAAGAAGTATGGTGTAGAATTGAGAATTTAACGGTACTATAATGGAAGAGGTATTTTTACAAAACGATTTTGTCTGAAGCAGTGTTCAGAAAATCGAAACTTTGCCTTATGTAACAAAATAAAGTTCTGTATAAATAATGTGTAAAGCAATGAAGGTATTATTCATTTGCTTCTTCAAACATTCTAGAAAATTCCGTTATTCGTTTCGCATAGCTTTTGGATTTAAGGTGTTAGAATCATTCTAAAAACTTTTTTGATCTGACCATAAACTATCTGGCGACTTGGTATCGCATCGTATTGATTTATCGCTGAAAAAGTTTATGTACTTCGGAACATAGAACAAAATTAAAAATGAAATTCAAGATAACTTAATATCGCGATCTACAAAAATCTGCACGAGGAAGAATGCTGCGGATCGTTTCAAAGTCTGCCAGGTTTTACTGATGACGCAAGCAATGATTCCCAAACAAGATTATCTATCTAATTACTTTATCTAGACATGAGATGAACTCATTTAAAACGAGGTTTTCCGTTGTAAAATTTTCTAGACTCCGATTATCGTTTCAGAAACAAGCTCCAGTTTAACTCGCGTCGCTTTGATTTATAGCTGACTTACGAAATCGCTAGAAGAGAAGAGGTGGAAAACACTTTTTTCTTTGCCTGAAAACGGACAAAAAAATTCAGAATATCCGCAATAAAGATCACTATTTTAAATGTGTGGTGGAGTCCATGCTGATGTAAATTTTCTTGACCTTAATTCTCGACTTCACGTCGAGTCTTATTTCTCGACTTCACCAGCAGTTCATTCCAACTTGCATACCTTTGATTTGATTGCAACATAGCTCTTACGAATAATGCTTTCCAAGCAAAACGAAAAAAATCAAACAAAGAGGAAGACCGTGAAGAGTGTGTATGTGTCGTCGTCTTGTAAAAAAAACACAGTCGATCTGACGGGCTCGCCTACAGGCCAAGGCCGTGTCAACCAACTGGGCGGAGTGTTCATCAACGGACGCCCGCTGCCGAATCACATCCGACTGAAAATCGTGGAAATGGCCGCCGCCGGGATCCGCCCGTGTGTCATCTCGCGACAGCTCCGAGTGTCGCACGGTTGTGTGTCCAAGATACTGAATCGGTACCAGGAAACCGGGTCCATCCGACCGGGAGTGATAGGCGGGTCCAAGCCGCGGGTGTCGACGCCCGAAGTCGAGGACATGATCGAAAAGTACCGCCAGGAGAATCCCGGCATCTTTTCCTGGGAAATCCGGGAGAAACTCATCAAGGTATGTTACCGACTTGAATGTCAATGTCTTCCGCCTTCCGTTTTCTTCTTTCGCTCTATCAATTACAACATTATGCGTCATTTTTGGGCCCATTGACGCGATTTCTGAACTGCCCGGCAAGATGTCCGGACGAAGAGATGAACAATTCCATGGAACGGGGGAAATCGGAAATTTTTAGATTCCGTTGAAGCGTTCTTCGAGTCTTTCTTTTATGTTTTAGTGCATTTTGAATATTCTAGGACAGTCATGGAACAGTGATTATAGTTGAAACAATAGATTATAAACCTGAGTACTGTATTGTGCTGCGAAACGGAATTTCATGAATCGCAGGTTTTTATATGACCTCGGCGACATACAAATATTGCACGAAAACTTTTTCATTTGAGCCACGGCAAACAATTTTAAAAAATGTTTTCGGGAGATTTGTTTCCCCTAGTTTTTTTTTCTGCGGAAAAAAAGAATTTCGAAGCATTACGCGGAAAATGTAGTGTCATATTGTAGCTGTCTTAGCCTTAAAAATCTTTTCTGTGTATCCTCATGATTTTGTATCGTCAAACACGTCTTGAAAACCATCGTAAACTATTCAACACGACTCGAAACTTGGTCCGCTGAAACTCGCTTAATTCAATGGAACGCTTTCAAATTCAAAATTATGGACAGCAGATTTTTTTTTACGTAACAAAAAGAGCGCCACACCTTAAGCTCAATGTGGAACTCTTTGGGTGGGACTGACGTCGAACTGGCGCCCGGATTAAAATTGAACTGAAAAGAAAATCGTCGACAATCTGTCGAAGGCGTTTATCTGATTATTTGGCGCCGGTGAGAAGCAGAGGCTATAGGTCTTCACACATGAAGAAAAAAGTTTTTGCCTGACAATGAAATTGATTTCATCCCGCGGCGGCGGTTAATCGCCTTTGCTCCCAGACGGAGGCGGTGATGGGATTATATCTGGCGGGCCCCGGGGGCTGTTTTCCTTCTCTCAAAATTGGTACACCTATCCATCAGGTTAATTTCAATGCCTTAATGTCAGTCTCATTAGGAACAGAATTGTACTCAATTTCTCGTGACGCCGGTTATGCTAAATTAATTCAATTGTTTATAGGAAAGACGAAGAACTATTGTACTTTGTGTAATTTTATTATCCTCTAAACTCGCATGTCCGGGACTACTTTTCCGATCATTTTGACTTTTGAACGCTGAGAAATTCTGAAAGTAAAAGCTTTTCTCCAGGAACTTTCCTTTCATAATATATACTGCGATAGGATTCGATTTAAAAATATTTGATGGACGTCTTCATTTATTATATAGTGAACTCGCATGGGGAAAATTTGTCTCTAAATGCTGAGTTTTGCATAATTTGCTGCGGAGACTTTTCATCACAGTGCATTAGTTTCGAAAAATCTTGTTGAACTACTTGATTGCGTTGGTCATTAAAGAGAATAATTTTCGGTTGCGAATCTCAGGAGTCAAGAGCAATAAGAAAAAAGTCTATACAATTTAGGTGAATTATGCTCTGGACCTCGTCATTTTGAGCGGCAATACAGGTAGCAATTTATTAATCTCCTAGAACGTCAAGTGATGATATATACAGTAATTACATTGTTCTAATATTTTCACTTCATCAAGCAATTTCTCTATTTTTTATCGACTTTTATTGGGCTCCTTCTACGTTTCGAAAAAACCGCACAAATTGTGCTAATTTATTTCACGAGTTCCCGTAATTTTTCAGTTCCCGAAGTTTCGTGATCGAGTTTTGCGAAGCTTTTGAAATATCTAGCTTCCCGTGGGGAATATAGTTTCGGAATATGAGACTGGTTTCGATTGACCGCGTCTTGAAAGGCTCCCGTGGGATTTTTCCGGAGTGCACATCGACGGTAGAAAATTGAATGGAAATTTCCCCCGTTGAAAATGTGTCAATCGTAGTGCTTTCAAAGTTCCCAGAAGAAAAAAGAAAAAAAGTTTGCGGTGGTAAGTGTGCTATATAAAAAGAACGAGAGATTTTTGCGCAGAGATCCTTCGTCGAGACGGCCGCGGCGTCTGATATGTTTTCCTTGCCCGCAAGGCGTGAAATAGGATTTCTCTCCCTCTCTTATTTCCTTTTTTTTCTTCTCCATCTGAAGACATGCCCGAGCTCTTAATCTTGTTGGTAGCCAGTGTATTAAAATTTCCCGGATCCGCTGGTGGGGGATGTCTGTGCACAGGAGGGGATTTGCGACAGCGCGTCGGCGCCGAGCATTAGTTCCATCAGCCGCCTGCTGCGAGAGTCCAGCAGTGAAAGCAAGAAGAGTCCTGGAGACCACTCCATACACAGCATCCTGGGTGAGTTGTTTTCTTTTTTCTTTTCATTATTCCTTTATTATCAACATTAATTTCTGGGGTTCATATATAGTCCCTTGTTTATTTTTTTTCTGACACCGCAAATTTGCGCAACACCTTCGCCGTTTGGATTATTCTCCCTTTTTTTGCATTACCAAATGGGTTCCAGAGATGTTTGCCGACCTTGTGTAATAAAAGTCACTTTTTTTATAATCTTCGGGGAAATGATGAGCAGAAAGAGGCACGGTGCGATCTTGAATTTTCTAATCGAACAAAATTAGCATTGGCTATTTTATGATATAAATTGAACAGTACAGTACTGTATTCTTCCTTTTTTTTAGGATTGAAAAGTAGGTTGGCATCCCACGATAAAATCTGCGCTAAAAGTAATCGGGTTGTTATTGAGTGAAAATTTCGACGGGCATCGCCTGAGAGTTATCTTCGAAATTTTGATCATGTTTGCGAAAATTCGTTCAACGTTTTCCACTTGTTTGGGAATGCTTCGTTGGAAATCTTACAATAATATATTTAAGTTACAAAATATATTATAATTATTTTCCCCGAATGCATTGAATTGACAAAAAAAGCTTAATTGACGTATGAAATGAAAAACCTTCGTCAGTGACATTCCCGAGCTTATGAAAAGTAATCATACTTGAAAGGGATTTGGTATGTTTTTTTGCCAGTACAGTACTCCTGAAACTTGTTTGGCATCATTGCGGGAACTCATTCAAATTTTCAACAATTTTTGATGGGACGACGAATATAAGCAGCATTCAATGAAAGTTAATCGATATTCTGAGGAAAAGTCTATGAACCCCCAACGCATAGACTTAATTCATCTGCGTCACACGAAAAAAGATTTCCGGATATTCAAGATACGCGGAAAATGCCACCTCGGAATGCATGGAACCCTCTATTTATTGCTGGGTGAAGTAAAAAAATTGAATACAAATGTGAGATCTAAGTTACGTAAAAATAAAATGAGAAATAGGAGGAAAATTCCCTTCCCTTCGTGGACTCCGTGATAAATCGAAATTTAATCGCCGGTCCAGTCGCTCTCCGCTCTCGGCGAAGCGACGTCAAGCTGTTGAGCAAATTGTCCCTCGGGCCACGAAACCTTGTCCCGGGTTCTTTTTGGCAACACGGAAAATTTAAAATAAAACTAGCTTATTTCTTCATTGCAAAAAAAAATATTAAAAACAGAAGATGATTCCGGCACGAGGCGCCGTTTTCCAGCTCACTCATCATGATGATGCATCCGCGTTCTCGCGCGCGTGTGGTCCACTTCCTTTTTTACTATCTACTAAATAATACGGAAAAGAAGAAGAATTCAGGTTACTGTACTTGGGGTTTTCAATAAATAAATTTCGATACTTGACAATCTGCAGATTCATTGCGGAATGTCCCGTTAATAGAAATGTCCACAAGTTTGTAATGGAACTTCACCAAGAAAGGTCTTAGCTGTGGTTGGTGGACCTCTGCAAATAATTTCAATGAATGAATCCCTAAAAACCAGATTGATATCACTGAGGTTTTTGAAATAATTATTGCAGCTCACATATTTCATGTCGGTAATTTTAAACATAATTTTGGCGTCTTCCATAAAATATAATAATTTACGCGAAGTGTAAAAAGGAAAAAAATCGGTAAAATGTTTGAAACAGTGCGAAATTTGTTACCCTTTCTTGATTTTCCTGCTTTTGAACGATTTATAATATTATTTTCCATTTTTTTACCCATCGATTAGTTCAGTGGGATATTGTCATCGAAATTTGTTTTTCGCGTATTCATTCTCGTCATCTTTGACATTTTAACTTTTCGAAACTCAGGTGCTTTTGGATAATAACGTAAGAAAAAGTCGTTGTATTCCTCCTTTACCTAGTGTGAATAACAAGTAAACCGACTTTCAGCAGGACACAATAAATCTTGCACCCTATTTGGGCTAATAATAAATTAAAAGCCAAAAAAGTTAATAAATTAGTATTAATAATATCAGTAAATAATAATAAATTTAAAGCGACATAAGAAGGAAATGGATCGCACTTATTGTTCTTTCGGCCGAAAGTGCAGGACACAATAAATCTTGCAACTTATTTCCCAATTATTATTTAATTTTCGGTTTCTTAATTTCTTCTTTAAGCAGGAGGAGATGATTCGGTATGCCTTTCACTTGGACCGAACTGAGACTTTGCTTTCGTTGCCTCCTCGTCTTGTTGTAAAAGGCGGCTTGTTAACCTCCTTGACCTCTTCATGAAAGTTTCTTGGGTTATGGGTCTACAAATGTGTAGGGAAGAACTGGCTCAAAAGTAAGTAAAATCCCCTCCTTTGTCCACATACATGTTTTTTGTCACAAAGCTATGATTTAGTGCATACTGAGACCAAGCCTACGCATCCCATAAAATACGATACAATGATAAGCAGCATCACGTATACATTATATGTATTGTCCAGAATGCTTCGCACAAAACATCTCTATCACGAGAAAAAATAATTTCTGGAGTGTATGAAGCCATTTATTGAAAGAAGGTTCAAAGCAAAGTTCTAGAGTATCCAGGGCATGTAAAGGCTTCGCGAAAAGCTCGTGAAATTTTGGTTTGAAAATGAGTTGGTCAACTAGGTTTTTTTTTTTTTTACCAACGATTCGGCATGAGCTCAAAAATGTCATTTTTAATGGAATTCAACGCGATTTTTTTGTCAACGAACCTGACGAAGGGAACCGTTTTGTTCGGATCTGAAAATGGCACACTTCAAGGTGTACACTCGAGTTTTCCATGATGGACTTTTGCAACTTAAGAATATGAGAGCTTTTCAAATTATCAATTTTTACTCAATTGAAAGGATAATTCAACTAAATTCAGTTCTTTTTTGTGATTTCTACGTAACAAATACCAAGACTTTGGAAAACGATTGCACTAGAATATGAGATGCACCCCACTTTTTGGTCATGCTTGGAAAAAGAAAAAGAAAGATCGGAATACTGGAGTAGAAATGATGGTTTTATAGCCACAAATAGTGCAGTAAATTATTCGTAAATTTCTGGGTAGTTCATTATTCAAACAATACCTATCTGATTCTGTTCCGGTTCAGGACAAAATTAACCGAAGCCCGAGTCCAAGTGTGGTTCAGCAATCGCCGAGCCCGACTGAGGAATATACGGAAAGTGAACCTGGCTTGACTCTGAAACGAAAGCAACGGAGGAGCAGAACAACATTTTCCGCCGAACAATTGGAGGAACTGGAGAAGTACTTTCAAAGAACCCAATACCCAGATGTTTACACGAGGGAAGAACTGGCTCAAAAGTAAGTAAAATCCCCTCCTTTGTCCACATACATGTTTTTTGTCACAAAGCTATGATTTAGTGCATATCAAGACCAAGCCTACGCATCCCATAAAATACGATACAATGATAAGCAGCATCACGTATACATTATATGTATTGTCCAGAATGCTTCGCACAAAACATCTCTATCACGAGAAAAAATAATTTCTGAAGTATATGGAGCCATTTATTGAAAAAAAAAAAACGTTCAAAAGCGAAGTTCTAGAATATCCAGGGCATTTAAAGGCTTCGCGAAAACCTCGTGAAATTTTGGTTGGAAAATGAGTTGGTCAACTAGGTTTTTTTTTTTTACCAACGATTCGGCATGAGCTCAAAAATGCCATTTTTAATGGAATTTAACGCGATTTTTTTGTTTGGAACCTGACCAAGGGAACCGTTTGTTCGGATCTGAAAATGGCACACACCAAGGTGTACACTCGAGTTTTCCATGATAGACTTTTGCAACTTGAGAATGAGAGCTTTTCAAATTATCAATTGTTACTCAATTCAACTGAATTCAGTTCTTTTTTTATGATTTTCTCGTAACAAATACCGAGACTTTGGAAAACGATTGCACTAAAATATGAGATGCACCCCACTTTTTGGTCATGCTTGGAAAAAGAAAAAGAAAGATCGGGATACTGGAGTAGAAATGATGGTTTTATAGCCACAAATAGTACAGTAAAGTATTCGTAAATTTCTGGGTAGTTCATTATTCAAACAATACCTATCTGATTCTGTTCCGGTTCAGGACAAAATTAACCGAAGCCCGAGTCCAAGTGTGGTTCAGCAATCGCCGAGCCCGACTGAGGAAACACCTGAACGTGCAGCAGCAACAGGCCGTCGCTGCCGCCACAATGCTGTCGGCGGCAGCGTCGGCGTCACCGGCTATCGCCGCCGCCGCGGCGTCCCAGCACTGCTCCCCTGGCATGGGCCCCTCCGCCGCCGCTTTCCAGAGCCAGTTCACGGCTGGACTCACGGCCATGCAGGCCAGTCACCACGCTGCCGCCGCCGCCGGGGCGGACTATTCATCTGCTGGCCTCATGACCGGTGAGTCGAATGACCCCTTTTTTTCTGACCTCATCTGTAGTAAGTACAGTGAGACCCCCAGATGCGGACATGTCGGATTGTCCCCAAGTTGAATCTTGTTTTCCCATAGACTTACATTGTATAATTTTTAATCAGTGTTTTATGGAAGAAATATTCTTCTGAATTTCATGAAAAAAAATGTTTGCCACTTGAATTTGATTCAATGAATATCTTTTCAAACCTACAAGAACATTTGGAACATTGAATAGTGTACCTCTGTACAGTAAGTTGAAAAGTTGGCATCTGGAAAAATAACATCCATGTCACTAGGAGAGCTAGAAGGAAGTATTTCTGTGCTATAGGGCATTTTTTAAATTAGCTGAATGGATGGGAAAATGATGGGAAAAGTACCAAAGAATTTTTCTTGCATAGACCCTAGGTTGGAAACATCTGTTTCTTGCAATTAAGCCTTATACAAATCGATTTTCCTAAAATTTATTTTGAAATTTTATCCTGCAATGTCCCCAGGTTGAGTCAGTGTCCTCATGTCGGGTCTTTTTTATGATTTTTTTTTGTTGAGAAATAAATGTCTCCATGTCAAATTGTCCCCATGTTGAGGCATCCGTATGTGGGGGTCTCACTGTATAAAGCTAAAAGGTATGCTGCATTGATGAAGTACCAAGTTCATTATCCTATAAGTCTATCTCGATCGAATATTGTCATGCCATAAATGTTCGGTAGCAGCAAACCTATTTTGTTCAGGGAGTTGGTATTTTTTTCCTTCAGACATTCAATGTACAGTTGGGCCGCTCTGAGTCGAATTTCAAGGGGACAGCAACAAAAAATGAATAAAAATAAATTCGAGCTAGGGAAAGAAGCATTTACATCAGGGGAAATGAAGAAGAATTGCAGGAAATTGACATTCGCGATATTCTGGGCCTTGGCTTAAATTGCTCCTCAAATGAGTTGACAGGTTGCTGAACTTGAAAGGCAGGAGTTAATTTGTCCAATCATCAGTCTTACACTTGATCCTTTCAACACAAATCAATCTACTTTTCTTCTTTTTTTTTTTAAATTGCTCTCCTATTTTCATGTGCCAAGAAAATTATATCTAAAAGGCCTCAGAAAATCCGAGTTACGGATGAGGTTTGAGAAGAAAAGCCAGCTGGTTTAGATTGGTTTTTAATGCATTGTTTCTAAGGGAATTCAGATGGGAACTTTGACTTGGGGAGGTTCGAGTTATCAAGGTTTGGCAGTATTGTACTGAATATATTCTACCAGTCAGAATCTCCCGTTCGAATGCATGAAAAATCAGTGTATTTTTTCCAGTCTAGAGGAATATCACTGTATAAACTGAAATAAATTAACAAAAAAGAAGAATGCCTCAGAGAAGTTTGGAACCAAGAATAATTTTCTCAATTCTGAAAAAATAGGCATGAGCGAAAACAAGTTCCAAGCTCTTCAAAGCTCAAGCGCATCTATGAACGCATTACTTGAAAAACCATGTTTTCCGGCAGTGATTTTTATTTATTGATGGAGATTCAGTTACCGATTATTGAAGTTGTTTTCTTTTCAAAACGAAGGACATCATGATTGAGTCCATGGTGCGTAAAATCCATTATGCAAGGTGGTCATTGTCCGAGTGTATTACTGCATGAAATGGTACATTTCTAACCGTAAAATTCAGTCTTGAGTTCTTTTCCGGGTTTTATTCAATGCTATCCTTTTCTTGAAACTTCCAGAAGAAAACGTGCGATTAGAAATTTGCTAAACTTCTACCTTTCAAAAAAAATTTCATTTTTTAGTAAAAAAAATGTTTTTTAATTGTATAAAAGGTCGCAATGAGTCCGAGAGAAAATCGTTGTACTGAGTCGTTCTGATCTCTGCTGGGAAATAGGTAATGCTTCTTTTTTTTTTTGCTGGACAGTAGTACACTTGAAGGTTGCTGAGCAGAAACCTCAGGCAATTGTTGGAGGTTGTCAAGATTTTTTTCCATCTAAACAAAAGACGAACTTGAACTTCTTCACTTGAAATTTCTTTCAGATTAAATTCCTCGTCACTCTTTGAAGTGAGGAGGTCCCTCGAAAATTGCGCCACCACGAGAAATTTCCTCTCGCTGCGTGTTTCAAGGTTTCTTCATGTTGTTTTTTATAAAGGTTGTGCCGATGAAGGAACATGGTTTCAACTGAAGATTACGTAACGTTTCAGAAGCATTTTTTCACGACCATTTTGGTATCCGAGGAAAAAGAAGCTTTCTGATAACGCTTTTCAGAAGTCTCGTGTTATTGATCGGAATTCTGCTAATCTCATTTTTTTTTCGCGAAAATAGTCCGAAATCCACTTGTAACTATTGAATCTCCAGCCGTATTCTTCATAAACATTTCGTTTGCATGGCAAGTTGGTAAACCAACATCAAGCTTTGTAACAAAATTGATGCCAAATGTAATTTCCCATTCATTATCTTCACATTGACAAGACTCACATATCTGGTTTGATGATTGATACTTTTTATTTTCAAAAATGTGTATACCGGTCTTGTTTTCCCATAGACTTAAATTGTATAATTTTTAATTGGTGTTTTATGGAAAAAACATTCTTCAGAATTTCATGAAAAAGAATTTTTGCCACTTGAATTTGATCCAATGAATATCTTTTCAAACCAATAAGAACATTTGGAACATTGAATAGTGTACCTCTGTACAGTAAATTGAAAAGTTGGCTTCTGGAAAAATAACATCCATGTCACAAAGAGAGCTAGAAGGAAGTCTCTCTGTGCTATTGGGCATTTTTTAAATTTGCTGAATGGATGGGAAAATGATGGGAAAAGTACCAAAGATTTTTTCTTGCATAGATCTTAGATTGGATACATCTGTTTCTTGCAATTAAGCCTTATAAAAATCAATTTTCCTAAAATTTATTTTGGAATTTTATCCTGCAATGTCCTCAGGTCGAGTCAGTGTCCTCATATCGGGGCTCTTTTATGATTTTTTTTTTTTAAATAAATGTCCCCATGTTGAATCGTCCACATGTGGGGGTCTCACTGTATATCAGGCATTCCCTACTTTTTTGCCTTTATGTAAAATATTGTTTCTGTTGTACGTACACAAATACAACATGTTTAAAAATAATTTTGCAACGATACTGCGGCAAAAAATTACATTTCAAAAATACACCTTTCTTTTCTTCGGTTAATCCTTGTCGCATTTGTTGAAAAATGGCAGACAAACTTGGGTTATAACAATTCATCCTTGCTTTTAAAAAATAAATAAAACATGTAATTCTTGTGTTATGATTTCATGTGTGTGATCCTTTTGTTTTCGACTTGTCTATGAATAATGCAGGAGGAGCAATGGGATGGGCTCAAGGAGCACAGGGGGGATCCGCAGGATATCCGGGCTTGACTTCCTATTCCCATCACCAGTTCCAGCATCAGCCCCAACAAGCCGCCGAATTGACGCCGGCGCCGCCACAGATGGATAAACACGTGCCTGCGACGACGTCCTCGTCGACCATCAACAGTGCCAATGGGTAAGTCATTTCTCTGTCCAATTTTTTTTTTTACACTTGAAACTCAATCAAGCTTTATACGCGATTCCGAATGAGGGAATGCCAAGCGGTTAAAACGTATCTTCTGTCCCAAATGAAATATTTGATCGTCGATTTCGTGCTTTATATACCGAAAAAAAAATTGAATCGTAAAATGTATCGTGACCAATCTTGGGGCGATACATATTCATCTGCTGGCACCATGATTCAGTTGAAGTTTAAAAAAAAATACCAGATAGGCATAAGAAAACTCAGACACATTCTTCGACCGCGCATTTTTTCCTGATAATTTTAGCGATTCCGTGTTTTTTTTTAAGTTGACTTATCCGTCGTTGATATCAACATTGTTTTCAAGAAAAGTTCCAGCATTGTTTTCAAATGCTGTTCTGCATTGTGATTAAATTGAATCATCTTGGAAACCCCATGTAATGCTTTACTAAACCAAGTACCGCGCATCTTTGATTGAAACACCCACCAAAATTTTTGATTTTAAAATTTTTTAGTAAGAACAGAAACAGATCCTGTCTAATAAGATGTTCACCCCAAACTTTTGAGCGTAAACATTTTAGTTCGTTAAAGTTAGTATCGGAGAGCACGAAAAGGAAAATTTTCCGTATTAGTCACTCAGATAAATGTAATTCGGGTGCAAATTTTTATTATTTGCTGAAGTTTGAAATATTACGCGACCATTGTCTCAAAGTCTGAACGAGCCTGAAATCTTTCAAATTCAACAGATCATCTCGCTAAATTTTTACTTCCAAAATGTGAACCGCAAAGTTAATTTGTTTATCTCCCCAAATTATTCTTATAAACGCAGAAGTTCAAACGCGACGCGATCGCTGGAAACCGCAGGCAAAACAGCGGGCTCCAAGACCGAGCAAGAGTCCCAACAGCAACAACAACAACAGCAGCAGCAACAACAACAACAACACGGCCTCGTTCCGAGTGTGTCATTGGCAAACAGTGTCGTTGATCCGACAGTCAACACGATGACCGCCTTGTCAGCTGCTGCTGGTTGGTCACATCATCCGGGTTTCGGTG